ACCACAATACGCGAGGCCCTACACTAAGAACTTTACAATCTCATCATCTCACTTAACTTCATCACCCTATTAAATAGAAATTATTATCCTCATCTTAGAGATATATAAACTGAGGCTTAAGTGTTAGTTAAGTTGGTTAAGTATTAGTTAAGTAGAAGAGCTGGAATTTGGACTCAAGTCCACTTGACACTATAGTTCATGCTTAAAGTACCATACTCTAGTTCCTAAGAAATAGGATATTTATAGCCTATTAATCAGTTTAGTTTTAAAATTTTTTAAATATTTTTTAAGACTTTTTTTAATGTTTAATAATTTATGAGAGAGAGTGTGAATGGGGGAGGGGCAGAGAGAGGGGGCGTGAGGGGAGACACAGAATCCTAAGCAGGTTCCAGGCTCTGAGCTGTCAGTGTATGCCCGACGTGGGACTCAATATCACTGACTGCAAGATCATGACCTGAGCCAAGGACAGACACTTAACTGACTGAGCCACCCAGGTACCCCTATTTTTTAATTTTTTAAAAAATGTATTTATTTTTTGTATCTCTACATCCAACATGGGGCTCAACCTCATGATCCTGAGATCAAGAGTTGCATGCTCCTCCAACTGAGCCATCCAGGCACCCCTCTTATTAATCAGTTTAAAAATAAATACTAGTTGGGGCGTCTGGGTGGCTTAGTCGGTTGGGCGTCCGACTTTCGCTTAGGTCATGATCTCGCGGTTCGTGGGTTTGAGCCCCGCGTCGGGCTCTGTGCTGACTGCCAGCTCAGAGCCTGGAGCCTGTTTCAGAGTCTGTGACTCCCTCTCTCTCTGACCCTCCCCTGCTCACGCTGTCTCTCTCTCTCTCCTAGAAATAAAACATTTTAAAAAATAAATAAATAAAAAATAAAAAATACTAGCAAGGTCATTCTGACAAAAAGATGTTTAATTACATGAAAACATTCATTAGTCTCAAAGTACACACTAACCCTAATACCACATCTGTGACCATTCTGAGGTTTGAACGAGAAATCCTAAAAAGAAAAGTGAAAAACCCTAGTAATAAGAAAAAGAAGAGATCAATTAAAAATGGAAAACATGGGCGCCTGGGTGGCTCAGTTGGTTAAGTGTCCAATTCTTGATTTAGGCTCAGGTCATGATCTTACGGTTGGTGAGTTAGAGCCCTGCATCAGGCTCTGTGCTGGCAGTATGGAGCCTGCTTGGGATTCTCTCTCCCTTTCCTCTCTGCCCCTACTCTGCTTGCTCTCTCTCTTAAAATAAATAAATACAAATTTAAAAAATATTTTTAATGGAAAACATGACATTTAACCACATATATTCTCTGGTTTATAACAATACATATCCAGTAGGTAAAACTGAGAATAGAGCTTGTTGGCTCAAACAGGAGTTAAGTATTCTGGCTCACAGGGATTTAAGTGCAGAATTTACTCTCTCATAGAAACAAGGTAATAAACAGCAATAAGGTAGAGTTGACAAACACATTAGTACTACACTCCGGGCACACTTTAAACATGCTTTTCAAGCATTTCGAATTTACAATTTTTAAAAATATTCAAATGTAACTCATTGTTTGAAAACTGTCTCAAGCCTAGATTGAATCAACCAAAAGTTACCTAAATTCCTGAACTATTAACCTCAAAATAATAACATATATTATAAACTTGAAGTTAACATAACTCTATGGATTATTAATTTCTACCTGAAGGTATACTTTTCTTAATTTCAGAACTTTTTCTATTAGTTTTTTTAAAAGTTTATTTATTTATTTTGAGAGAAGGAAAAAGTGCAAGTCAGGGTGAGGGGGAGAGAGAGAATCCTATACAGGCTCTGCACTGTCACTGCAAGGCCTGATACGGGGCTTGAACCCATGAACTGTGAGATCATGACCTGAGCTGAACTCAGACACTCAACTGACTGAGACACCCAGGAGCCCCTCTATTAGTTTTTTGTCACCACTCAACATAAACCTGTATTAAAAATACTTACCTGACTTAGTATTTCCAAGACAATTAATTTTAGTTCAGAATAGAGCTTAGGTTAAATAGTCATGACAATCTTCAGTTTTAAACACCAGCCAGTTTCTAACCAACAGTACTCCTACTCTATATGCAGGGAACAAAGTCTTCTGGTTTGGAGCAAAGAAACAGAGACTTCTTAATTCCTAAAATTAATAAAAATATTTAAGATCTGGGGCACATGGGTGGTTCAGTCGGTTAAGCGGTTAAGTGTCGGACTTCGGCTTAGGTCATGATTTCACTGTTCATGGGTCTGGGCCCCGTGTCAGGCTCTGTGCTGACAGCCAGCTCAGAGCCTGGAGCCTGCTTCGGATTCTGTGTCTCCCTCTCTCTCTGACCCTCCCCTGCTCACGCTGCCTCTCTCTCTCTCTCTCTCTTCCCCTCAGAAATAAATTATAAAAACATTAAAAAAAAATTTTTTTAAGATTAAAAAAATATTTAAAATCTAATTATGCTGTTTTCTCCTCTATTAGAAAGGCACCTATTAGCAATGGGAGAAACAAAATTTTGATTAAACAAAAACCTTAAATATAAAGGTGTTATATGAATATAAATTTTTATCCAGTGGATATAAACACAAATGTTAGATTGATTATGCTGTGATTTCCAGATTTCATTGATTTACTTGTTAAATAATAGACACATTCAGTTGTCAATAAACTTTCAAAGATTAGTGCTAATCTTTAATGGAAATGTCTCCAAAACTTAAGTATGTGCACCAAAATTTAGTTTTAAGAATGTGAATCTATTTCAGGGCTCCTGGGTGGCTCAGTCAGTTAAGCTCAGGTCATGATCTCACAGTTCATGGATTTGAGCCCTGGATTGTGTCTCCTTCTCTCCTCCCTTTCTCTCTCTGCCCCTCCCCCACTCACATTCTCTCTCTCTCTCTCTCTCTCTCTCTCTCTCTCAAAAACAAACATTAAAATTTTTTTTAAAAAGAATGTGAATCTATTTTGAATCCAATTTGTTAAAAATCCAAAAGCTGTTATTTTTCTCTCCAAAAGCATAAACAGTATATATTTGGTATGTGTGCAATGTTTCCAGTGATTAACAATAGCATATAATAATGAAAACTGGAAACTACACAGATATCTAAGAATTAGGGACTGTTTAAGTAAGATATGCATGTAATAGCCAGATAATGGAATATTTATTTAGCCAGTAAAAGCTAAGATGTTCAGTTCAAATTAAACAAGGAAATCACTAAACAGTGTGTACAGTATAATCCCATTTTTGTTTTAAAAAAAAGTCTGTGTATAATGGTAAGATCATGGGTGCTACAACTTCAGCGCATTCTTTTCCTACACTGATTTTGTAGTAATTTTTTTCCCCTCAGAACAATTTAAACTCTGTTTCAGATCAGAGTACAAATACTGCCTTAATTTCACACACACACACACACAAAGAGTGGAGGTCAGACAGATAAAGAACTAACTCTAAATAGACTTAGCTGTAAATATCCATGAGTTAGTTGAACTAGGTGTTGGAAACCAAATGATATCAGAGTATCATGTCAAATAGGCAAATTATTGACATTAAATTTTATATGATTCAATACTCTCTATAACCTATTTATTTAAAACTGCAGAGAATTTTTGTTGGGAGGCAGTTCTCCATGGGTCTCTACTGGTTCTACATGCCTTACAAGCAAGGCAGTCAGCCCTCTATACTCTGGGCTGTCCTCTCAAAAATGCATATACAGTGAACAGCCTTGAAAAGGCATGCTTATTGTTCACTATAATAAAGATCATGGTTCCCTAAGCTCAGGGTTCCAGTCCTGTAATGCAACACACTCCATCTGCAGGCGACTTCTGCCTCTTCGCATCACCCTGTGGGAAGTGGGGCAAAAGTGTTGAGATTCTGGCTACTGCCACCGCTGTAAATAATTCATCTGTGCTCTAGGGGTCTGTGTCTTCTACAAAACTGTAGCAGGCTACAGTTGTTCGTGTGCAAGTAGGATAAAATCTCTGACTCTTCTGAGTTCTTGACATTTTTAGAACTATGCTTCCAAGAAAACCACCAACGCCACCAACGCTGTATGTGCAAAAGCTAGTTTCTGTCAACAAATATTTTATTAATGCTTTCATACTTACCAGCATTATTATGGTGGAACATCTGATAGAAAACCTGAAGAAAAACAGTACAACTATGTGTTAGAACCTTAACGATTAAAACTCTTACCTCCTTTCACTTTGAGTGACTCTAGTTTGGTGCCTAATATGTAGGTGTCCTAGCCACCTAGCTTATAATGAAATCATTTGTGCCTCGATGAATCACAAAAAGGATCTTTTGAAACCAAGCCTGCATCCACTCTAAACAGATTTTTGTGTTTGGCTGGTCTCACAAATACATTCCATTTACTATACTGTATTTAGCAAGCAATTTGAAATACCTTAAAGATCCTAACATCAATGTTCCGGGACATTTAACATTCCTATTTTTTTAAAAAAAATATAAGCTTCCTCTAGCTCGGATCATGGCTTAGCAGCCAAAGTCTTTACAAATAGATTTTCTGTCAATTAATTTCTGTATTTTTCTGGAAGGGAGGCCTTTGCCCTCCACCTTCCACCGGCAAGGAGGTCGGTGGGCCGCACACACCAAGCCTAGGCCTCCTTCTCCCACACACCTGCTGGCCAGCCCCGAGCGGAGGTGCAGGCACCTCGTCGGGGGTCATCCCCTGCGAGGATCGCGTTGGATGAGGATGGGAGCACCCGGTCGCGCCGGGTCCCCAAGGCTCCTCGCCGACCCAGGCCAGGCGTCTGCAGCCGTCCTGGCCTCCGTGCCGCTCCCGCGGACTCAGCCCTCCGACCTTGTTCCCGTGCCTGCCCGCGAGGGGCACCCGACCGGCACGCTGGGCCTTGACTTCCCGCGCAGGCGCAGCCCGGGTTCGCTGGCCCAAGGAGGACTGCTGTGCGTTCAGGGTTCCTCGGTGGCGGCCCCCGTCACTTCCGGCGGCGTTGCTGAGCAACCGCGCAGTTTGGCTAACACTCTGCCAGCTGGACTCCCACTCGCCCGGAGTCGGAGTCGCTTGGAAAGTCAGAGAGCGCGCCAGGGGCATGTCGTCCGAGATGCTGGTGCGGTTCGGAAGGCGCTGTGGTCAGGCGAAGGAAAACACAGGTGAGCTGAACTGTCCTTTCCAGGCACAGGCAATGTTTCTGGCCACCAGGCATAGGGCAGGAGGCAAGGTGCCAAATCAGAGTTTCGGTTACTTTTTTGATGGGTTCCGCCAAATCCAAAGCAGCTCCGTGGGCATAGTTGGGCACTGTGTAAATGCACAGTTTTGTCTTCAGATGATTGGGTAGGTGAGAAAAGTTTACAAATAGGAGCGGAGAAAAGAGAAGTTAGAGGGCCCACTTGACCAGCTGGTCTGAGCCTTGAGCTGTGTAGTTGCAGCTCCAAGTGTCCGGTATTTGCTGATTTCCCTTAAGCTTTTGTTACCCGTTGAGTTAATTGGAATATCTTCTGGAAGTATCAATGACCTCATTAGAGTCTTGACCCTGCTGTGAACTTAATGAGTGCTCTTAGGAAAGTCTATAATGGAATTGTCTCAATTACCTTATCTCTGAAGTGAAAGAGTGTAGAAAATAATGATACTTAGGTATTGTAATCTAGATGACCTTTTACAAAATTTTGATTTTTGAATATAAGTAGCGTAGGGGGACATCTAAAGAACTCTTTAGCAATTACAATGATTTTAGTTTCTTAAGTCTGTAAATTCCCAATTAATGTTGCAATGATGACCACCAGAACCGTGGGAGTTGGGACTGTCTTCATGTCATCGCCTGAGCCTTTGTAGCAATAGAGCCTCATTCTGCCAGATGCAGAGTGAGAGCCAGTCATCATCCCTCCAGTGGACACTACCGGGTATTTATGCAGTGAAGGAATTATGAAGTTCTGACATGTAGGAGAGAGACGGTAACCAGGTGACATATGGTGAAAAAAACCAAACTATTGCTCTCAAATACTTCCTTACATATGCAATACTGCAATAAAAGACTTAGATTTATGTGATAGGTGTTAAAAAATGTTTTGTGTCGGGGCGCCTGCGTGACTCAGTCAGTTAAGCATCCGACTTCAGCTCAGGTCATGATCTCATGGCTCATGGGTTCGAGCCCTGCATCGGGCTCTGTGGAGCCTGCTTCGGATTCTGTGTCTCCCTCTCTCTCTGACCCTCCCCTACTCACACTGCCTCTCTCTCTCTCTCTCTCTCAGAAATAAATAAAACATTTAAAAAAATGGTTTGTGTCATTTGGTACAAAAGTTCCCATCTGAGCCTCACTGCTAAATTATAATCTTCATTTAGAAGTAGGTGAAGGGTTCAGATATGTAGACAACATCTGTAAAACAATTATCTAAAGATTTAATGGGGTGACATCAGCCAGATGGTAGAATAAGGACATCCACAATTCCTCTTCTCTTTTAAATCAAAAACAACACCGGGGCACCGGGGCTGGCTCAGTCAGAAGAGGTTATGACTCTTGATCCCCAGGTTGTGAGATCAAGCCCCATTTTGGGTATAAAGCCTACTTAAAAAAAATTTTTTTTAAAACAACAAAAATTGTCAAAACCAACTTTCTTTTAGAACTCAGGAAATTAACCAAAGGCTTGTAACAATTGAAAAGTGTTTTATCAGGAAAAACAGATGAATCTTGGTAACAACAGTAAGGTTTTTTTTTGCATTTTAACTTACTCTTGCCCCATACTTTTCTCCTAGCCCCTTGGAAGTCTAAAAAACCACTGCAACCACAGTAAAATCCAGTGGTTTAGTAATCTGTGGAGGGGGCAGGAAAGGATTGGATCCTCTCCAAAGCCTTTTTAAAGAAAACTATTATTTATCCTGTCTCACAGTTCCCTGAAAAATCCCGCTCACAATGCTTGATTTTATTTCGCCTGACTCAGAGCTCACTGGGAATGTTTGTTATGTTTTAACAAACAAATTTAACAAACAAATGTTTGTTTGTTAAACATTTGTTAAAACATTGGCAGGGGTGCCTGGGTGGCTCAGTCGGTTAAGCGTCTGACTTCTGCTCAGGTCATGATCTCGCGGTTTGTGACTTTGAGCCCCACATTGGGCTCTGTGCTGACAGCTCAGATCCTGGAACCTGCCTCAGATTCTGTGTCTCCCTCTCTCTGCCTCTCCCCTGCTCATGTTCTGTCTGTCTGTCTGTCTCTCTCTCTCTCTCAAAAATAAACATTAAAAATTAAAAAAAAACAATCATTGGCAATTTTTTAAACATCACAGCTGCCTGAAGTAGTGATAACTTTTGGCTGCAAACAAGCTGACCAAAAACTTAAAAAGAATACCCAGGAAATGAGATGTCCACAAAGGGCTTTGAGAAGCTCCCTACATATTCCTGGGAATCCAGAAGGACAGATGTATGCATAGTGCTATACACATGCTCAGGAAATATCTGAGAATTTAGCTTTCATCTCTGGCTAAATTTGAGGCTCAGTGCAAGAAAAAAGTAAAGGCTAAGACAGAATTGTAAACTATCTGCCTAAGCGTTAAAGTCATGCTCCGCCACTCAGAGTTTCTTGGCAAAGGCTTGGAGACTTAAGGAAATTCAATTTAATTTAAGGAAACTCCATCCAATTATTTGCTAACATCTAAGCTAACCAAGCTGAGATTCCAATAAGCACATATAACAAAGAATACAGACTTTACAGATTTAGTTCAGGAAAATTACTAAACCACAACAGCAATAAAAACAAAATTTTGGGTGTGTGGGGAATCTGATGTCTAGAGTTGCCACATATTATTTAAAATGTATAACTTTCAACGAAAATAACAAAGCATGCTAAGAAATAAGTTTTAATAGGAACTGTTCCTGAGGAAGCCCACATGTTAGACTTCCTAAACAGTTTTCTTTTGTAAATTTATAGCTATTGTAAATATGTTCAAAGAACTAAATGTCAAAAGAACTATGAAAGTATTAAGAATGCTGTCTCACAATATAGAGCATATAAATAAAGAGAAAGAAATTATAAAGAGAAACCAAATAGAAGTTTTGGAGTTGAAAAGCACAATAGTTTCAATGAAGAATTCACTAAAGGGGCTCAAAAGCAGATTTGAGCTTGCAAAAGAAAAACTCCATGAACTTGATCATATGTTAATTGAGATTGTCCAGTCTAAAGAATAGAAAGAAAAAAGAATGAATAAAAATGAGCAGATCCTCAGGGAAATGTAGGATACCAAGTATACCAAGATATATATAATTTGAGTCTTAAAAGGAGAGGAGGAAATGGGTAGAAGAAAATATTTGAAGTAATGGCTGTAAACTTCACAAATTTGATGCAAAATATTAATCTATACATTCAAGAGCTCATTGATCCTCTAAATGGGATAAACTCAAACAGATCCAGAACCAGACATATCATGATCGAACTGTCAAGAGACAAAGGGAAAGACAGTCCTGAAAGCAGCAAGAGAGAACCAATGCAACACATAAAAGTGGCCCTCAATAAGATTACTAGCTGATTTCTCCTAAGAAACTATGGAAGCCAGAAGACAGAAGGTTGACATATTCGAGGTATTAGCTGAAAAATACTTAAAGGGTCTTTATCCAGGAAAAGTGTTAAAATATTTCCAGGTAGGGGACCCTGGGTGTCTCAGTTAAGCATCAGGCTTCGGCTCAGGTCATGATCTTACGATTCATGGGTTCGAGCCCCACATTGAGCTCTGCACTGACAATGCAGAACCTGCTTGAGATCTCTCCCGCCCCTCCCCCACCCCTTTCTGACTTGTGCTTTCTCTCTCTCTCTCAAAAATAAATAAACTTTAAAATATGTATATTTCCAGGTAAACAAAAGTAGCAAATTCATTACTAGCAGACCTACCCTACACATAGACCTACACATAGCTGAATTTAGGTATAACTTGATCCAGGACACTGTTCTGTCTCTCAGCTTTGCTTAACTGTATTCTCTACGTGGCGACTTGGTATGTGACAGGTAAGATGGTACCTGTGGTTCTAAATTCACCCTTTACCTCAGCAACCAATTTCCCAATCCCATCAACTTTAATTCAACCCCCAAGAAGACTCTAATTGATTCTGGCAGCTTTTCTCTCAGTATCTTTATCTCTTTCTGGAGCCACGTGATTTCTTGCTTCTGCTTTTCTCTACTTTTGTTTCATCTTCTAATAATAATAGTAAACATACTAATAGCTAATATTTATTGAGAACATTTTGTGTGCCACACATTATTCTAAATTTTTTACATATATGAGTTCATTCAATTCTTACACCATCCAAATAAAGTAGGTCCTATTAATATCTCCATTTTGCAATTAAGGAATAGAATTAAATACTTTTGTCTAGAGGGACGCCTTGGTGGCTCAGTCAGTTGAGTGACTGACTTCAGCTGAGGTCATGATCTCATGGCTCAAGTCCATGAGTTCAAGCCCTGCATTGCTACTGTGAGGCTTGCTACTGTCAGTGAAGAGTCTGCTTGAGATCCTCTGTCACCCTCTCTCTCTCGTCCCTCCTTTGCTTGCACTCTCTCTCTCTCAAATAAACATTTAAAAAAGTAATTTTGTCTAGGAGCACGTGAGTGGCTCAGTCAGTGGGGTATCTATTTGACTTTGGCTCAGGTCATGATCTCACAGTTCATGGGTTCAAGCCCTGTGTTGGACTCTCTGCTGACAGCTCAGGGCCTAGAGGCTGCTTTGGATTCTCTGTCTCCCTCTCTCTCTCTGCCCCTCCCCCACTCATACTCTGTTTCTCTCAAAAATAAACATTAAAAAAATTTTAAGTAATTTTGTCTAGATTTACATAGTTCATCTGTGCTATATTCATTTAGGATGCTTTTTAATTCATACATAGAATACCCAACGCAAAAAAAAAAAAAAAAAAAGAATACCCAACTCAATCATGTTTAAAAATAAGGTCATTTATTTGCCAGGAACTCCAGGCTTCAGGTCTAATTGATCTAGAATCATAGTGAGATCCTCATTGCCCCATGTTCCTCCTTTGTTTTTCCTTTGTGGCTCACAGAAACAGCTTCATCATAAGGCTTTTGTGGTCATAGGATGGCTGCTTATCTGGTCTTCATGCTTCCTTGTTCATATCTAGCTGGGGAGTCCCTCTCAGATGTTTCTCCCAGAAGAACAGGAAGAACTTTTCTAAAAGTCTCAAATAAATCTCTTTTCCTTTTGTTTGCTTATTACACAAATAACTATTGCCAAGGGAGAAGCAAGTACTGTTTAATGGGGCCCACCCTGAGACGGTATTCAGTTCTCCAAATTATATTGTCACTACTCAATTAGGAAGAGATTGAATAGAGTCAGTCACCATGTCTACAACTCCAAAAGAATATGCCCCAAACTATCCATTTATAGACTGCTACTTGGTCAGTTTTGAAAAAAGCTTTAATAATAACCTGTTGGGGTAGGTATTATTGATCTCAACTGTAAAGACTTGATACTGAGGCTCCAAGAAGTTAAATGACTTGCCTAAGTTTACAGAGTAAGGAAACAACCAAGCGAAGACTCAAATCTGTCTTTTGATTTCAAGTTCTTCTATACTTTACACTTAACCCCAGCTGTTCTTGAAATAATAAGAATACAATTATTGTTTAAAACAATTTCCAGGTATCATGACAATATAGAAATGTCTGAGAAAAAATATTTAAACTCTTGAAAGTCTTTAATATTCATTTTTAAAAATTTATTAGAAACAAAGAACTCTGAAGAAGATCAGGTCTTCTATCCACCTCTTCTACCTAGCAAGGTCGATCTCCGGCAGGTCACCATAATTCCACACAATGAGTGGAAAAGGATTCGAGATAGCCTTGACAGTTTGACAAGAGAAGCAGCAGGCCTTCGTGCAGAAAGAAAGGCAAAGAAAGAAATGCATTTCCAATCCCAAGAAGTGGTAAAACATTGGACTAATACATACGCAGTAAGTATTAATCACCCAGGAATATACATGCACTGCAGACTCACTCTTGTTTCTTAGTACATTTTATAAATATTTTTTACGTGTACAATATTATAAAAAATGCACCTGGGTGGCTCAGTCAGTTGAGTATCCAATGTCGGCTCAGGTCATGATCTCGCAGTTCATGAGTTCAAGCCTTGCATCAGGCTCTCTGCTGTCAGGGCAGAGCCTGCTTGGGATCCTCTGTATGCCCCCCTCACTGCCCCTCCCCCACTTATGCATATTCATGTGCTCTCAAAAGTAAACATTTAAAAAAAATCATAAAAATGCTTTGAAACACATTTTCAACAGCTTTATGTAGAAGTGACAAACAATAAAATAGACATTTATAAAGTGTAAAATTTGATAAGTTTTGATATATTTACATACCCCTGAAACCATCATTATAATTAAGATAATGAACATACTCATCACCCAAAAAAAGTTTCCCCGTACTTGACTTACCACTTCTCACTCCTCCCTGCACCTTCTCCAGGCAGCTTCCTTTCTTTTTTTCCCCAAGATTTTATTTTTAAGTAATCTCTACACCCAACGTGGGGCTGAAACTCAAACCTTAGGATCAAGAATTGCATGTTCCACCGACTGAACCAGCCAGGCGCACCTGCTCTACTTTCTATTTTAAATTTTCACTCAGCATAATTCTTTTGAAATTCTTTCATGTTGTTGTGTGTACCAATTGTTCATTTTTATTGCTGGCTAGTAGTATTCTATTATATGGATGGACCAGCGTTTGTTTATCTATCCAATTGTTGATGGTTTGGCATCAACCAAATGTTGGTATCTGAGCTATTTCCAGTTTTTGGCTATTATAAATAAAACTGTATATGAACATTCATGTAAAAATCTATTTGTGGATATATGCTTTCACTTCTCTTGGATAAATATCTTGGTAGAATGGCTGAATAATATGATGGTTGCATGTTTAACTTTGTAAGAAATGTCCAAACTGTTTTTGAAAGTAGTTATATTATTACACTCCCATAAGAAGTGTGTAAGTGTTCTATTTTCTCCACATTCTTGCCAACTTGCTATGGTTAGTCTTTTTATTTATAGACATTCTAATAGGTGTGAAGTAGTATCTTACTATAGTTTTAATTTTAATTTCTCTAATTACAATGATGCTGAACATCTCTTTATGAACTTATTCATATCTTCTTTGGTGAAGTGTTTATTCAAATCTTTTGCCCATGTTTAAACTGGGTTTGTTTTCTTATTATTGAGTTTAGAGAATTTTTAAATATATTATGAATACAAGTCCTTTATTAGATATTTGATTCAAAAATATTTTCCCCCAGGGGCGCCTGGGTGGCTTAGTCGGTTAAGCGTCCGACTTTCGCTTAGGTCATGATCTCGCGGTTCAAGCCCCGCGTCGGGCTCTGTGCTGACTGCCAGCTCAGAGCCTGGAGCCTGTTTCGGAGTCTGTGACTCCCCCTCTCTCTGATCCCCCCCTTCTCATGCTGTCTCTCTCTCTCTCCTAGAAATAAATAAAACATTAAAAAAAAAAAATTTTCCCCCAGCTGTGGGAAGGGACACAGAAGGCTTTTGGTACCTTGCTTTAGAAGCAGTGTTCATAATTTAGTCTCTTTTTTACTAGAAGAGGGAAGAAGTATATCATGACTGATATCATATATTACATTCTGAAAAAGGCAAATCTATAGGGAAAAAAAACAGATCAGTGGTTGCCAGGGGCTGCAGATAGGGGTAATGGTTGGAATAACAGGGCATGAGGGTATTTTTGGGGGGTATGATGGAACTTTCCTATAACTGATGATGCATTTGTAAACCTGTACACTAAAAGAAGGTGTGTAAATTATAATCTTAAAACCTTGATTTTAAAGAATTCCCTGGGGGCGCCTTGGTGGCTCAGTTAAAGTGTCTGACTTAGGCTCAGGTCATGATCTCACGGTTCATGGGTTTGAGCCCACGTCGGTCCTGTGCTGACAGCTAGCTCAGAGCCTGGAGCCTGCTTCGGTATCTGTGTCTCCCTCTCTCTCTGACCCTCCCCTGCTCATGCTGCCTCTCTCTCTCAGAAATAAATAAAACAGTAAAAAATGTTTTAAAAAAAGGAGTCCCTGGATCAGCAATCAGCCAACAAAAGGAAATAAAAGGCATCATAATTGGCAAAGAAGAAGTCAAACTTTCACTTTTCGCAGACAAAATGATACTCTACATAGAAAACCTGACAGACTCCACCAGAAGCCTACTAGAACTGATCCATGAATTCAGCAAAGTCACAGGGTACAAAATCAACGTACAGAAATCGTTTGCATTTTTTTACACCAATAATGAAGCAACAGAAAGAGAAATCAAGAAATTGATCCCATTCACAATTGCACAAAAAACCATAAAATACCTAGGAATAAGCCTAACCAAAGATATAAGAGATCTGTATGATGAAAACCATAGAAACCTTATGAAGGAAATTGAAGAAGACACAAAGAAATGGAAAAACATTCCATGCTCATGGATCAGAAGAATAAATATAGTTAAGATGTCATTACTACCCAAAGCAATCTACACATTCAATGCAATCCCAATAAAAATTGCACTAGCATTCTTCTCAAAGCTAGAACAAACTATCCAAAAATTTGTATGGAACCACAAAAGACCCTGAATAGCCAAAGTAATATTGAAGAAGAAAACCAAAACGGGAGGCATCACCGTCCCAGACTTTAGCCTCTACTACAAAGCTGTAATCATCAAAACAGTATGGTATGAGCACAAAAACAGACACATAGACCAATGGAATAGAATAGAGAACTCAGAATTGGACCCACAAATGTATGGCCAACTAATCTTTAACAAAAAAGAGTCTCCAATGGAAAAAAAAAAGACAGCCTCTTTAACAGATGGTGCTGGGAGAACTGGACAGCAACATGCAGAAGAATGAAACTAGATCACTTTCTCACACCATACACAAAGATAAACTCAAAATGGATAAAGGACCTGAATGTGAGCCAGGAAACCATCAAAACCCTAGAGAAGAAAGCAGGAAACAACCTCCTTGACCTCAACTTCAGCAATTTCTTACTTGACACATCCCCAAAGGCAAGGGCTTCAAGAGCAAAAATGAACTACTGGGACCTCATCAAGATAAAAAGCTTCTGCACGGCAAAGGAAACAATCTATAAAACTAATAGGCAACTGATGGAATGGGAAAAGATAGTTGCAAATGACATATCAGATAAAGGGCTAGTATCCAAAATCTATAAGGAATTCACCAAACTCCACACCCGAAAAACAAACAACCCAGTGAAGAAATGGGCAGAAGATATGAACAGACACTTCTCCAAAGAGGACACCCAGATGGCCAACAGACACATGAAACGATGCTCAGCATCCCTCCTCATCAGGGAAATACAAATCAAAACCACACTGAGATACCACCTCACGCCGGTCAGAGTGGCTAAAATCAACAAATCAGGAGACTCTAGATGCTGGTGAGGATGTGGAGAAATGGGCACCCTCCTGCACTGTTGGTGGGAATGTAAACTGGTGCAGCCCCTCTGGAAAACAGTGTGGAGGTTCCTCAAAATCCTATAACAATAGAACTCCCCTGTGACCCAGCAATAGCACTGCTAGGAATGTACCCAAGGGATACAGGAGTGCTGATGCACAGGGGCACATGGACCCCAGTGTTCATAGCAGCACTTTCAACAATAGCGAAATCATGGAAAGAGCCTAAATGTCCATCAACTGACAAATGGATCAGAAAGATGTGGTTTATCTATACCATGGAATACTACATGGCAATGAGAAAGAATGAAATCTGGCCATGTGTAGAAACATGGATGGAACTTGAGGCTGTTGTGCTAAGTGAAATAAGTCAGGCAGAGAAAGATAGATACCATATGTTTTCACTTATAAGTGGAACAGGAGAAACGTAATAGAGGACCATGGGGGAGGAGAAGGGGAAAAAATAGTTGGGGAGAGGGAGGAAGGCAAACCATGAGAGACTCTTGAATACTGAGAATAAACTGAAGGTTGATGGGGGTGGGAGAGAGAGGAAGGGGGGTGATGGGCATGGAGGAGGGCAGTTGTTGGGATGAGCACTGGGCGTTATATGGAAACCAACTTGGCAATAAACTATGAAAAAAAAAAAAAGTCCCTGGAGTGGAGTATACCATATAATACTTTATAGATATAATACATAAAATTTTCATATCCACAGGTGTTAAAGAATAAGAATAAATATGGTAAATGTGGTAGAAATGTAGTAGTAAAAGCTGTTTTGTAGGCACAGAGATTGACAAAATAATAGATCAGAAGAGTGTGCCTAGAAACAGTCACATGTTATATATGGGAACTTGACATATGACAGAAGTGTCATTCAAATCAGAAGGGAAAGGATTGGGAATTCAAAAACTGATACTGAGATAATTGGCATATGAAAAAAATGAGATTACATCCTTATCATATTGAAAATACAAAAATGAATTTCAGCTGGATTAAAGACCCAAATGTGAAGAGTAAAACAGTAAACTTTTAAAATATATCATAGAATGTCTTCAGGATTTTAGGGTGAGTAAGGTTTTCTTACAGTATTGAAAGTATGACCCAACAAAGAAGAAGAAAGACTTCATCTGACATGATGCATTGGATAGAAGTAGTTAAAGGAATAAAAGTAGTAATGTGTGTGTGTGTGTGTGTATAAAATGTAAATATAGAAAGATATTGCGGGGGGGGGGTGGTGCCTGGGTGGCTCTGTCAGTTAAGTGTCTGACCCTTGGTTTTGATCTTGCAATTTTGTGGGTTTGAGCCCTGTATCAGACTCTGCACTGACAGTGTGGAGCCTGCTTGGGATTCTCTCTCTCCCTCTCTCTCTACCCCTCCCCCACTGGCACTCTCTCTCAAAGTTAAAAAAAGAAATTTGGAAGCAAACTAAGAAACTAATAATTGTGGTCATCTTAGAGACTGCTGATGGAAGTTAGGATTGGAAGGAGAGCTTCACTGAACACCTTTGCCATATTTGGGGGTTTGGGGGCACCTGGGTGGCTCAGTCAGTTAAGCATCTGACTCTTGGTTTTGATCTTGTGGTTTTGTGGGTTTGAGCCCTGTGTTGGGCTCTGCACTGGGAATGCCAAGTTTGCTTGGGATTTTCTTTCTCCCTCTCTTTCTGCCCCTCTCCAGCTCCCACTGTCTCTGCCTCTCTCAGAATAAATAAATAAATTTTTAAAAAAATTTTAAAAATATTTTGGGTTTTGAACCATATAAACATGTTAGCTACCAAAAAAAAAAAAAAAAACCTCTGGTTTCTCTTCAGATTGTATAAATCTTTTGCCTTTTACCAAAAAATTTAATTAAAATATTAGCTTATAAGTGTAACATCATATTTTATTTATTAATGATATATGCAAATAGAATAAACACTGATAATGAACGGCTCATATTTCATTATATGCAATGTGAAATTTTGTAAAATTAAACTGAAAAAGGAAAACACAAGACTGCTTTTTTCTTATTGCAGGGAATGAAAGAACAGAAACTTGAAGCCAAAAAGAAGCGTGATGAAGAAATAGAGGCAGAAAGACAAAATCTTGATGTGGAAGAAGCAATATACAAACAAGGAGAAAGAAAAAAGGCTATTGAATATGCAAAGCAATATCAATTTTACCAGACAGAAAGAGTGAAAAATTTTCATGTACTACTTGGGTTTTCTTGAATTTCTCTATATATTTAACAAATCTCTTTACATATAATTAGACTTTATTTCCTTAAAATGCCGCATTTTTTTTTTTTTTTGTAGTCAGGACTTCTTCTTAGTAGAGTTATGAAAGAACGTGATGCACAGATTGAATCCCAAAAGAATAAAATAAAATCAGATAAAAAATGGGAAGAACAATTAAAACTCAACATTGAAAAGGCTTTTAAAGAAGAACAAGAAAAAGCAGAAAAACGACGCAGAGATAGAGTGGCTCTTGCCAATGATCATTTAAAACAGTATGTATATATAAATTACCTTTTTGGTATCTTATTTTTCTCATAAAAGCTTTTTTTCTGATTATAAAAATAATTCATGCTGAAATACTAAGTAGAAAAACTACAAAGAAAGTTTAAAAATCGCTATTACTCCATTACCCAGAGATAATATATAAGTTACTATTGTCACAATAATGCTACATAACAAACAACCACACAATCTAGTGGCATTCAACCAAGCATTTCTCATGCACCCATGGGTTGGTTGGGCTTGGCTGCACAGCTTTTCTTCACACTGCAGGACTGGCTGGGCTTGTTTCTTGTTATGCCTATAGCTCTGATCTGTTCTATGTGTATTCGCTTTTGAGGTACAGGATGAAGGGACAGTGGCCATCTGAGGGAAACTTTTCTTGTGGTATTGACAGAGATGCAAAGAATGAGCCCAAGCTTGCAAGAATATGGCTAAACTCAAAGGCAAAAGTCAAGGAAAGACACTTGGTCTATTATAAGCAAATCACATGGCCAACCCAAACAACCATGGAACAGAAAAATGGATGGAAGTGGGAAGTGAGAGAGTGAATCTTTTTAAGCAATACTAATCTACCACAGTAATCTGTTATTGTTTTGGTATATTGGTATATAGCCATACAGACTTCTTTTGGTGGTAGTGGTGGAGGGAGTCAGATTCACTGAACTGTAATTTACATTTACTAATGAAATACACTTTTTAGAAAGCAGATAGCTGTAGAACGATCCCTAAATCAAGATATAGAATACTTCCATCGTCCCAAAAGTTCCCTAATCCCTTTTGAACTAAGTTCTTTTCCTTACCCTGAGACCCCGGCAATCATTGAATGAGTGATACAGACTTTTTTTTCTGAGCGTATATTTTATTTTTTCATTTACCAGTATCATGAGCTCTTGCTATGTCAGTAAATAGAAATCAAACCTGAATGTTTTTTTTTAATGTTTATTTTGAGAGACAGAAAGAGACAGAGACAGAGAGAGAGAGAGAGAAAGCATGCGTGTGTCTATGAGCAGGAGAGGGGCAGAGAGAAAAGGAGAGAGAATCCCAAGCTGTCAGCACAGATCCTAATGCAGGGCTCAATCTCACTAACCACGAGATCATGACCTGAGCCAAAATCAAGGGTCAGACTCTTAACTGACTGAGCCACCCAGGTGCCCCAAACCTGAACTTTTTTAAAGAAGTAGGTACTATATAAAAATCAGCAGAGGGTATTGTATTTGTGCATAATTTTACTTACTTTTCTAAATTGCTGATACATGCAAATACAAAAAGGCACAAAGGGAATTCAGTGAAGTCTCTTCCTTGTCTACCAGCCACTCTGTATCTCCAATGTGAGGCTTATGAGTTTCTTTATATTATAGTTTGAATGTGCATAAATATATCAAAAAATTTTAAACAGTATTCTACTTTTAAAGAAAAAATTATTTTTGTAATTAACTATATCATTAATTTGCGACCAAACAAAATTAAAATTAAAATCACTAGAAACTCTTTTTAATCCAGAATCGGTGCTGTTAATATTTGGGAATATAATTGTCTATCCTTCAAAGTTATTTTTTTTAATTTTGCAAATAATAAATGAATATATACTTGTTTAAAATTCAAAACAGCAAAATTTATAGTAAAACTGAAAAGCTCATCTTTATATACACCTTTCAGTGTCTCTTTAAGTCCCATTTTCTTCTTCATAAATAGCCGTTATTTAACGTTTTGTGACTATCCCTTCAGAATGTTTTATTATAGTTACTAATATTTATATGCAAGACATATTTAAATATGTTTATATATTTTTACCATGGATATTCTACAATGTATTTTACTGTGTCTTCAGTTTTTCACTCAACAATATACCTTGAATATCTTTTTTGCCAGTATATAAGAATCTGTCACATCTTTTCAAATAATCATATTGTACACAAAGAATGTACCATTATTTATTTAACTATATTATTATTGAGGGAAATTTGGATTTTCCCTCCTCCATTTCTTTTTTTTTTAATTTTTAAAATATTTTACTTATTTCTGAGAGAGAGAGAGACAGTGTGAGCAGGGGAGGTCAGAGAGAGAGGGAGACACAGAATCTGAAACAGGCTCCAGGCTCTGACCTAGCTGTCAGCACAGAGCCTGACATGGGGCTCAAACCTACAAACCATGAGATCATGACCTGAGCCAAAGTCGGATGCTTAACTGACTGAGCCACCCAGGCATCCCTCCCCCTTCCATTTCTAAAAATGCTATGGTAAACATCCCTGACCATATTTATTTTGTAACATTTGTACAAAGATGTATTTATGTAGCATATATTTCTTGAACAGAGCTTGGATTTTACATGTGGGGAGATACTGCCAAATTGCCCCTTGAAAAGGCTTTTACGTGTATAATCATCAATGATATCTGATTCCTTTTTCTTTATGTTATCAATTCTGAACAGTAGTTTTGTTTTTCTTTTAGAACTTAATGGACTAAATAGTAGAATCTTTTAATTTATATTTCTTTTCATTTCTAGTGAGGCAGGTTACTTTTTCATGTGTAAATATTCATCTGTTTTGGTTTTTGTTACCATAAATTGTGTACTCCATTGTTTTCTTGTGTAGGTTCATATTGATATGTGTGTTTGTCATTGATTAAAAACTGATTAATAAGCAGTTTTTACATTTGCTGGATAATTATCTTTATTAGACATATTGCAGATTTTTGTTCTTTTCTGAATGGTTTTAAAAAGATTTTAAAAATCTTTTTAAAGATTTTTTAAAAAGTAATCTCTACACCCAACGTGGGGCTCTAACATACTACCTTGAGACCAAGAGTCACATACTTGATATATATATATATATATGTATGTATATATATATACATATATATATCTTATAGGATGTATATATTTATTTCTTATAACCTGAGTGACATAGATATCAATCCTCAGGATATATGTGTTGCCAAATTGTATGTTCTTCAGTTCTTAGTAAAAAGAGAAGGGAAAGCTTTGGATTTCTGTAATGTTTTTCTTTGTCAGTGTAGAGATCCAAGGGTTTATGCAAGTTAGGGACAGAGCCATTGGCAGAAGGAAGCAAATATTTTATATTTGAGTGAGTCAACCTTTGACAAACCTCTTTTATGTTGGCTGTTGCAGCTCAGAGATCATTGCATGTAGCAGACTGATCTCCAGGAATCTACCTGGCAAGTGCTAACACCTTCTCAGGCCATCCACCTGTAGCCATTGCATGTAGACCGTGTTCAGGCCACGGGATCTTCTTTCCATGTGGTCTTTGGCAACAGATTAGAGGTTCCAGCAGGTTTAAGGTTTGTTTGAGTTGTTTCTTTAGTTTATCTTCAGTGCAGTATAGGAGATGTTGACCAGGTTCTGAGGTTAGCACAAATTCATTTCCTTTTCATGGTGCGCTCTGTCTTTGTGGATGACAGCCAAGTATTACTTATCGTCATTGCATTCTCAAGTGCCCTATTATTTGTTGAAATCTCTTGGAAACTCAAGTATATATATAGCTAAGACTTTGCTTTTATCAGTTTCTTGCAGTGGTGTAGAATTTCTCCCATTCTGCTGATTGTATTATGGGGAGTTAGGAGGGAAGGATATTTGACATGTGGACTTGGGTTCCCAGTTTGGTTCCAGAAGTCCTGTGTCTTAAATTTATTAAGAAACATTTAATTCTGTAATTGAAAACAACAAAGGAAAATACAAATCTATTATAATTTTTTTAAGTATATGAAGTCACAAAATTACCACCAGTGGTATTCTGTTGAATGTTGATTCATGTATCAGTTTTATACAACAGAATGCATGCCACTTAAAATACTGTTAGGAATAGTAATGAGCCCATAAAAAGCCTCTTTAGGCCAACAATAGAAGGGGAATACTAACACTCATATTAATCTGAGTAGATACAGAGGACCATGTGGTAGAAAAAGAGAAAAGAAGGAAAGTTTTTTCCTGCTTTCTTGAATTATTTAATAAGAGAGTTTCAGGGAAAAAAATTAAAATAGGCTATTCACTTATTAATTAGTAAATTCATTTATCCAATCATCCATTCATTGTTATAAACATTTTTTTTGGACAATCTCCACTTGCCAGCCATATTCTAGTAACTGAGAATGTGAAGATGAATGCAATTGTCTTTTTTCTTAAAAAGTCCACAATCTGGGGAGGAGGCTATAAATATGGAACAAATACAGCATGATAGTAGATGTTTTGAAGAATATATGTACAGAATGTGTGGAAGCATATAAAATGGACATCTCAGTTCATACTGAATTATGAAAACTGAGTAGGGATAAGTCATGCAAATGGGGAGTGGAGAAGTATTTTAAGCAGAGGAAATAACATGGGTGAAGGGCCAGAAGTGAGTTAAAGTATGGGGGATTTGGGTAACTACAAGTAGTCAAGATGATTATAGTAAGAGGACAAAGAGGGTAATGTTAAAGATGAGATTAGATATGGGGCTCCTGGGTGGCTCAGTCAGTGAAGCGTCCAACTTTGGCTCAGGTCATGATCTCATGGTTCGTGGGTTCGAGCACCATGTTGGGCTCTGTGCTGACAATTAGCTCGGAGCCTGCAGCCTGTTTTGGATTCTGTGTCTCCTTCTCTCTCTGACACTCCCCTGCTCACACTGTCTCTCTCTCTCAGAAATAAATAAAACATTAAAAAAAAAATGAGATTGGGTAGAGGCAAGGGCCATGTCATGGTGTGCCTTAGAGGCCAAAATTTGGAATGACTTTCCACTTTGAACAAAGACCATATTTTAACAGACACATGAAAAAGGAAATTGGAGGATACCAAGAAGTCTCTTTTGCATGCCCTATTAATTGTATTACCAAGTGTTATTTAGGTATTACCTGGTGGTGGTTTAAAATATGCACACTCATTCTTTGATACTCCTCTCTTCAGAGAGTGGAGTCTAATTCCTTCCTCCCTTGAGTGCAGGCTATACAGAGTAACTCATTTCCAATGAAGAGAATGAGTAGAAATGATGAAGTGTGACATTCTGAGAGAGATTAGCATATAAAAGGCATTGTGGCCTCCTCCTTCCTATCTTGGATCACTCTTTCTTTAGTGTGTCATGATGTAAGTACATTCAAGCAGCTCTATGGAGAGGTCCATGTGGCAAGGAGCTGAGGCCTCCCGTCAAGAGATATGTAAAAATGGTTTCTCCAGCCTAAGTCAAGCCTTCAAATGACTACTGCTCCAACTAATATCTTGACTGCGACCTCTAGAGAACTACCCAGCTAAACCACTCCCAAATTCCTGAATCTCAGAAATGGTATGAGATAATAAATGTTTATTGTTTTAACCCACTAAATTTGGGGGTAATTACTCAGCAATGGTTAACCAAAACACTATATAGCTGCTTCCCTGTGCCTGAAACTGAGATTTTTCACACATTTCTAAAACAATCTCTAGACTGTGGACCTGGTCAGTCTATTCTATTTTGGGGCTTTGAGCAGTATAAGAATCTGCCTCTGGCTCACAGACCAGTGGGCATAATGAGGATGGGGCAAATGAGGGACTCTAGTGACACCAAAATCCCCAAATGGAGGGATTTTGACCAAGAACCTTAAACATAATTATTGAAAAGAAATTTAACAGTATCTGTAGACATTGCATATAATTCTGTTTCTTTCTAGGTAAGTCTGTCTCTATGAAGGGGCCCATAGACCTTGCTTAAGAACAACTCAGTACCTATTAATCTCATCAACTTCCCAAAGGAAAAATCCATTATAGGATAGTCTGTATCACTTTCCCCTGGACAAGATCATCTATGGTAAAAGCAGAGAGAGAGGAGGGCTTAAGTGACCACAGCCATTCCTACTGATTAAAAACACATCCTAAATCTAAGAACTTCCAAATTTGTAACTCTAGTCTAGACCACTCCTTTGGGTCCCAGCTTCATATACAACTGCCTTTAAGACATCTCCATTTCCATGTCTCGTAGATATCTCAAATTTAAAATGTCTAACATGAAAGTATTTATCCACCACCCCCATAAAGGACTTGCCAGTGACATCCTTATCCCCTCAGTTGTCCAAATCAGAAACCTAGAAATACACCTTAGTTTTTCATGTTCCTTTATTTCCCACATCAAATCTATCAGCAATTCATGTTGAATTTTTTCTCCAACATGAATCTTAAAGTTACTGCTGTCATCTTAGTCCATGACACCTTCATGCCCTGTAAAATACTGCATCTACCTCTTAACTGGCCTCCTATTCTCTCTTCCTAATCCCTTCTTCTTTCATCATCCAGAGAGATTTTATTAAAAATTGATCATATTGGGATGGCTGGGCTCAGTTGGTTAAGTGTCCAACTCTTGATTTCAGCTCAGGTCATGATCTCAGTTTGTGAGTTTGAGTCCCATATCCAGCTCTGTGCTGGCAGCATGGAGCCTGCTTGGGATTCTTTCTCCTTCTCTCTCAACTCCCCCACCCTCTCAAAATATATAAATAAACTTAAAATGATATTATTCTCCTACCTAAAACTTTTCGATAGCTTTCAATTCATTTAAAATAAAATGGAGGGGCACCTGGGTGACTCAGTCAGTTAAGCATCAGACTTCAGCTCAGGTCATGATCTCACAGTTGGTGAGCTCACTCTTCGGGTGAACTCAAGTCCGCCTTCAGGGTAGCTCCAGCCCTACGCTGGACTCCACACTCTCCATCCCTCTCTGCACCTTGTGATTCTCTCTATGCTCCTCACTCACTTGTGCTCTCTCTCAACAAGATAAACAAACAAATAAATAAAATGGAAACTTGACCATCTCCTGCTAAGCCTGGTATGATCTGGCCTCATCTAAACCTCCTTTCCTGCCACTCCTTCCCCTTAGTTATTGTATTTCTATCATACTGATCTTCCAGGCCTTGAGCACCTGTCAAACCTTTGCTTGCTTCAGGGCCTTCCCTCATGTTTTTCCTACTGTCTGGAATTTTGTTCTACCATTCTCATCTGTAGGCTTCTCACCAGCTCAAAGAATCTTTTTTGCTTCTAAGATTTCTAACAAACTAAACAATAAAACATTTTTGCAAGTCTCGTAATTTAAGGGCAAGCATAAACCTAGGTTAGCTGTAGACAACATGACTTTTTTCTTAGCTCCTCCTCAAGAAAATGATTGTGGCTCTAAAGCTGCTTACTTTGTACAGATGAATCAACTGGGAATTTCCTGTCCTGCATTAGCTTAATAATACCAAAGTGAACTTACCAGCTCACTTAACTGTGTAGTCCTCCATGGCACGGGGAAGGGAATTTTCTCCTCTGAAGATGAGGATAAGACGCCAAGAAAATATTCTTTTGGATTGGGTGCATATGAAAGGTTTATTCCTCAATCTTTTTGTCTAAGTATATTATTTATCTGCCCTGTGCCTACCTGTTCAAGAAGAAAAAAAAATTAGAGACAGCAGATAAATAATGGCGGTAGAGTAGCCTGCACACTTGATTGACTGACAAGAATGCATGAGCAAGTAAACATCTCAGGCTGAGCTGCCTTGCCAGTATGAGTTGCCAGATGTGGGCACTCAGCATTTGCAATGAAGTACTGATTGTGGAAGCTCATTGAGGGAGTGATGGTGGTGGGGCTGGGAAGGTGGGTTGAAGAGGTAGAGCTGGAGTTAAATCTGGCAGATCACAGCCTCGCAGTAAGGAGGCTGCTCCAGGATCTCTGCAGAACTCACACATAAGCTCTGTGTGGCTTACCACTCAGAAGGCATCTATAGCTAGTGGATGTTGACTAGAAAAAGAATGACAAGCAAAGTGGCTAGTTGGGTAAGGAAACCCCATTTCCTGAGAGACTAGACCCGTAGCTTAGGCAGCATTGTCTAGTGCTGACTAGTGTGAAACACTAGGGATTAAGGACTTTTCTGTAAAATAATGTCACTATTCTACCATACTGTCATTCAATTAACTGGTTCTTTCTAAAGAAAAGGAACATTTGAATCTATGTAGGACTTAATTTTGGTCAGGAATTAAACACATTTCAGAGAAAGGAAAATATTGGCAATTTTAGCAAGTCTGGCTTTGGCTTTCATCACTGCTCTTTATATACTCCCTTCTTGTCCCCAAAGAAATTCACACGTTTCCTCACAGCTTCAAATCATTCCAGGGTAGAATCTCATTCATTTCTTTAAAATATAACCTATTTTTCTGCTTTGTTCTCAATTATAGTTTTGCTTTTGCTTTAGAATAAAGGAACATGAAGAAGAAGAAGAAAGAAGGAGAAAACAAGAAGAAAGGGATGCAGAGGAAATAAGGCAACAGAACTCATTATATGAAATAGAAATGAGGAAAAAACTAGAAAAGAAAAAAGAAGAAATAAACGAAAGCAGAAGGCTGTTTTTTGTAAGTTGAAAATACGTATCTCTTCAAAAAATGTATAACGTCCAATGCCTAACTTTTAATGTATTTTTTATAAATAATAGTAGAGTTGAAAATAAATTGCTGTTAAGGTGGGTTTTTAATATACTTTTGGGGCAGCTATATTTGCTATGAAATTAGGTGGATGTGCTCTCATGAATGAATAAGAAAGAGAAAAGAGAATGAGGCTTTTTTTTTTCAAGTGAATACATTTTTTTATTCTTAAAATGAGAGTTGTGAGGAATGAATGGAGTGATATGTGTTCAGTGTCTGCTGCACTGCAATAAGTGCTCAATAAATGTAATAGTTATTTTGTTCCTATTGCAACTCACTTTATTTTGTAATTTTTTACATTCTTTTAAAATTAGTTTTTATTCTTAATACATGCAGAGAATTAAAACATCAAACATTACTGAAAGGCTTAAAAGAAGAGTAGCAGTTCTTTGATTTACCCCTTCTACTTCTTGGAAATAACCACTTCCAGGTTCTTTTAGCTGTTTGTTCTGATATGAAATTATATTCTAAATAATCTATATATTTTAACAATGTAATACTACTCTGTGATCAAAAAGAATGAAATCCTGCCATTGCAACAATGTGGATGGAACTGGAGGGTATCATGCTAAGCAAATTAAGTCAGTCAGGGAAAGACAAATATTATATTATTTCACTCATGTGGAATTTGAGAAACTTAACAGATGATCTTTGGGGAAGGGAAAGAAAAATAAGATAAAAACAGGGAGGGAGGCAAATCATAAGAGACTCTTAAGTATAGAAAACAAACTGAGGGTTGAAAAAAGTGGGGTAAATGGGTTATGGGCATTAAAGAGGGCACTTGTTGGGATGAGCACTGGGTTCACATGTAAGTGACGAATCACTGGGTTCTACTCCTGAAGCCAAGACTACACTGTATTTTAACCAACACGAGAATAAAAAATAATAAGTAATCTGTATATTTAAAAAATATGTATCACACTCTAGGGGCGCCTGCGTGGCTTAGTCGGTTAAGCGTCCGACTTTCGCTTGGGTCATGATCTCACGGTTCGTGGGTTTGAGCCCCGCGTCGGGCTCTGTGCTGACTGCCAGCTCGGAGCCTGGAGCCTGCTTCAGAGTCTGTGACTCCCTCTCTCTCTGACCCTCCCCTGCTCACGCTGTCTCTCTCTCTCTCCTAGAAATAAATAAAAACATTTAAAAAAATATGTATCACACTCTAAAGATATTGATCTTCATTTATCAATTTTAGACATTTTCTTTCTCTCTGTCCTGGTAGTTAAGGATTGAGTTCTTATCCAACACTGTTCTCTTCTCATTCTCTCCTTCCTTTAAAATAATTATGTCACAAATTTAGCTAAATCATCATTATTTTTATATAAATATTGTTCTCTGAAGAGCCAAATAATATACTATGATTATTATTTATTTGCTTGCATAAATGTTTTTCTGAGATTAAAATAATTGCTTATTTATTTGCTTTGATGGCTGTACACCTGTTTTTTCCCACATGTTCCATTAAGTTCTGTCAAATGTATTTTCAAATATTCATCTAAATAATATTAAATTATCTATATTATTGTTTTTTTAGAGTTTTCCCCATCCAGAGTCTTCCATCCTTCTCCTCCTCCTGGACTGCTTGCCCCCTAGGCCTCCTGTCCAGCCCTCCTGCCCCGAAGTCATTCTGGGACTTCCCTGGTTACTTTCCTGGGCTGAAGCTGCCATTTCCTGAATCACATGCCTTCTTCTTTCTTGGTTTACTTCTCCATCTTGCTGAAATATATCTTCGAGTAACCTCCTAAGAAAGGGTATACAGGTCAATTTAAAAAAATTCTTATCTGAAAAGGTTATCATTTAAAGTCACATTTGCTTTATAGTTTGGATATAGAATTCTGGTTCAGAATTCAGAATTTTATATTCATAGTTCATGATCATATAGCTTCTAGTATTGCTATTGAGAAGTGTGATGTCCTTTAGAGTCTTCAGCCTATTTATGTGATCTGTTGTGTTTTTTTTCTTTCTTTCTGAAAGATTTCTGGGTCTTTGTGCAGCTCTAAAATTTCACAGTGACATACTTTGGTACAGTTCTTTTCCCCTAGTTTCACAGTGATCGAGTCTGGTAGGGAATTAGTAATATAGGCAGATAGACAGTGGTTGGGGAAGGAAGGACACTTTATACTTGTATCTTAGGGGTTTTTGTTTTGTTCTGTTTTTTGTTTGTTTGTTGAGAGAGACAGAGGGAGAGAGGGAGAGAGAGAGAGAGAATCTTTTTTTTTTTTTTTACAAATAGTTTATTGTCAAATTAGTATCCACATAACACTCAGTGCTCATCCCCACAAGTGCCCTCCTCCATGCCCATCCCTCCTCCCCCCCACATCCATCAGTCCTCAGTTTTTGTCAGCATTCAAGAGTCTCTCATGGTTTGCCTCTCTCCCTCTCCCCCACCATTTCCCCCCTTCTTCTCCCCCTTGTTCCTCCGTCAAGTTCCTCCTAATCCTCCTATACGTGCAAACATATGATATTTGTCCTGAGAGAGAGAGAATCTTAAGCCAGCTCCTCTCTCAGCACGGAGCTCCACACAGGGCTTGATTCCATGACCCTGGGATTATGACCTGAGCTGAAATCAAAAGTCGGTCACTCAACTGACTGAGTCACCCCAAGTGCCTCTGCACTGTGTATTTTTAAAATATTTTTAATTTGTGTACCATATGATTATATTAACGATTTAAACATTAAATGAAAATTGTATGTATTTAATGTATTTTTTCTGATTATAGAATTATTTTCAATTACATATTTTAAAGAAATGAGATATTTGAAAGGAAATACAGAAAAGCATTAAGATGAAAAGTCACCTATATAATCTCATACCTCAGAGATAACTATTAACATTTGATACATTTCTTCCAGTTATATATACATTATAAACTTATACTGTATATGTTTATAAAACTGAAATTGCTATGTAGTATTTTATATTCTCCTTCCCCCCCACTTACCCATTATATTGTTTATATCTTCCCATGTCATTGAGAGTATAATTTATTTAACCATTTCTTCATGATTAAAGACTTAGAGATTGTTTTCAATTTTTCACTCTTGTAAATAACTTTGAGATAAAGTACATGACACATAAAACTTAATGTACATCTCTGATTATTTCTTTGGGATAAATTCCCAAAAGAGAAATAGCTGAGTCAGAAGCTGTGGGCATTTGACAATTTTTTGTTAGGTATTCATATGTTGAAACATATTTTTCTTTGTGATAGGATAATACACAATTTTTTCCCCCAAGGAACATATGAATGATAAAAATATCATCAAGGCTGTGGAACAGCAGCAGCAAGAGGAGGAAGATGAAAAGATTAGAAAATTTATTAAAGCAAAAAAGCGTCTTACACAAATGGGGAAAGAAAAAGAAGCTGAAACACACAGGTAAGCTTTTAAAAATAATTTATGTAATTAAGTACTATCTGAAATTATTATAAATCAGAAGTTGTAATATGAGAGTAATTTTTAAAAATAAGTCTTATTATTTTATATATTACTAGGGCATTTAATGACATGATGATTTCAGTTGCAGCATGTGAGTTAGGGTTCCCTTGGAATACCAAGGACATCTTTCTGGTAGATGGTTGGAAATAGTGGAAATCTCTGCTGTGGGAGAGGGATTTGAGCTGGAGATGGCTTTCTGAGCCACTGATATAGAAGTGGTAGTTAGAACTGTGGATACAGGTGAGTTCATTTATGATGAGTAGGTAAAAAATGAAGGTCCCTAGAGAAGTCCATATTTAAGGGTCAAATGGAGAAAGAGAATGTGAAGATCAAAGAAGAGTTTCCAGGGATTGGAAGAAAACCAGAGAAACAACAAGAAGGGAAAGTTTCAGGGGCGCCTGGGTGGTTTAGTCGGTTAAGCGTCCGGCTTTCGCTTAGGTCATGATCTCGCGGTTCGTGGGTCCGAGCCCCACGTCGGGCTCTGTGCTGACTGCCAGCTCAGAGCCTGGAGCCTGTTTCGGTCTGTGACTCCCACTCTCTCTGACCCTCCCCTGCTCATGCTGTCTCTCTCTCTCTTTACTAGAAATAAATAAAACATTTAAAAAAAAAGAAGGGAAAGTTTCAATAGGAAGAGAGTAGTCACTGGTGTTAGATCAACAGAGGGATTAAATGATATTTAAAAAATGAAATGTCCATCAGATATGGAGGCCACTGCTCACCTTAGTGAGAAGTTTGAGATGAAGTGAGGGAGAGTAGGAGGCCAGTTGCAGTACATCCTGTTTCTGTCTAGATCTACTTTTCCCTTCTGCAGAATGTTCTCATGGCTTTACATCACACATATTTATTAAGGCCCATGAGGCTTTCCTAGTTCCCAGCTGGCCCAGCCTCATCTCTCAGACTTCATCTCATACTGTCCTCTCCTTTGTTGTCTCTTAATCACTCACACTGAACTTCTTCTGTACCCTCTCTGGGGAATGCTCACCTCCTTTAACTCTTTCAGATCATTATATATTGCATTCTTATTGAGGCCTTCCATGACTTCCTAAGTAAAATTACAGTTCTACTCCCCACATTGCTTATCTGTCTGTTTTCTTTTTCCTCATTGTGTGATATGGCACTATGTTAATTATTTACTTTGTTTACTATCCCTCTACCTCAGCTATAATGAAAGTTCTATGAGAGCAGAGATTTTTAATGTTTTTATTAACTGTCATGTCCCCAGCACCTGGAATAGAGTCTACAGCATAGTAAGCAATCAATGAAAGTGTTGAGAATATGGTTTTTGAAAGCTTACATGCAATGTCACCTTTTCCATGAAACTTTTCTTTTTTTCTCATCTGAATATATCACTTTCTAGCTTTCTCATGGCACGTATCACCTTTTGCCTTGTATACTTATTTGCATAAATGTCTTTTCTACACTTTAGACTATAATTTCCTTGGGATGTCCTTTCCGTGTCTTTTCTTACTGTTTCTCCCATATTGCTTTTCAAATTCACTCAATAAATTAATGAAGCTGTCATATCTAAATTTAAAAGTATTTTTCACCCAATCTTATATGAAAATGCCCCCATTCTTTTAACAAATACCTAGTTCTTGTTGGATGTGCTAGGCACCATGCTTGACTTTGAATTAGAGAGAGGACTTACTTAACCCATCTCTGATCTCAGGAATCTCCTGGTATGAAAGGAGAGTTGTTTACCTTCATATAAGTAGATGAAGTCAATAAAGTGCTATGAATAAATTGTCAACCAGATATAGTAATAAGATGGATTTCTTCAAGATTTTGATAACTTTTACTAGATATTTTTGAGATTTCATTTAAAGCAATGGCTTTGATTCATTTTATAACCTAAGCCCCCAGTGTTCAAGTAAGCAGAAATTTTTGAAAAAATGTTCATTGTGAGAATTTTCATACTTTATTTCCTACACACACACACCCCCACACACACAACCATACAAGATATTACATGTATTACTCCCTTCGGATTTTTAAAAAATCTTTTCTAAAATATTTTTATCCTTAAAAAAAATAAAATATACTTTATTTTAAAAATAAAGTATTAAAAATAGTTCCCACTTAAAATAACCAGTACAATACAGAGCAACAGGGCTCCTTTTAAGTCTTGTAAAAGACTATAAAATATAAAAAACTTTATAAAAAAATATAAAAGGCTATAAAATATAGTCTTCTGGCTTCATAACAAATCTATTCATGAAGATTTAACAAGTGCTGGTTATTTTGTTATAGGCTAATGGAAGAAAGGAGACAAAGAATAAATAACTTCCTGAGTGAAATAATGAAAGAGAAACTTGACAATGAAGATTTGATTATTGCTAGAGATACTGCAGAAGCTGAGGCTGAGTGGGAAAAAAGAGAAAGAGAAAAATATGAAAAAAACAAAGCAGAATTAAAAGCGATTTCAGAATATAGAGCTGTTGTGGTAAGCAATTAAATTATGACATAAAAAAATACCAAAAACCCAATGTAAGCCCTTTCCATTGTAGTTTTCACTCCGTCTGCCTCTGACAAAAAAACTAACAAAGATTTGGAAAATGATGTGTGAATTACCTACCTATATTCTTGAAATCAAATCATATTTAATTTCTAGCAGAATATCACATGATAATTACAAATAAGATATTGATAAATGCAAAGATAAATGCTTCTGTTTCAGAACCATCTGAAATGCAAAAATTGTTACTCATTTAATATACATTTAAATGTTCTTAAGACAAACCAAGTAAAAATCACCCTATTGCATTTTTGTATTTCTTAATCTTTCAGATAACGCTTATCTCCTACATAATTGACCATTATAATATTTAATTTGGATAGTTTATGAACATTGTAGCAATTAATTTTTTACCTCAAATATTCCCTTACCTTAAGAAGATCTTGTTATATTGGGACGCCTGGGTGGCTTAGTCGGTTAAGCATCCGACTTTCGCTTAGGTCATGATCTTGCGGTTCGTGGGTTCGAGCCCCGCCTCGGGCTCTGTGCTGACTGCCAGCTCAGAGCCTGGAGCCTGTTTCAGAGTCTGTATCTCCCTCTCTCTCTGACCCTCCCCTGTTCACGCTGTCTCTCTCTATCCTAGAAATAAATTAAAATGTTTAAAAAAAAAAAAAAAGAAGATCTTGTTATGCTGTGCCTGTATTTTATTTCTTAAACCACTGATGGTACTCAAGTTTTCATTTTGTGTTTCCTGTTATTGGAGAAATAGAGGAAAACTGGCCATTTGGGAACCAGCCAGGTGCATGTAAATTTTCTGCCCTTGCATTGCTCCTGGCTGGCTTTCTGCTTGGAGCTTTCTCTGTGCTTTATTAGAGAATACTGGTTGATAAAAAACATTTTTTTCCTTTGCTTTTTAATATCTAGATGAAAAATAAAGAGGAAGAAGAAAGAGAGAGAAAACTAGAGGCTAAAAAACAATTGCTGGCTATGATGAAAGCAGATCAGATTTTCCAAGAGCATGAAAAGGAGAAAAAACGCAAAGCTGATAAAGAACATCAAAAAGTTCAAGATGCTCATGTTCAGCAAATGGTAATTATTCTTAAATGTTTGTACTTATTTTAGCAATAAGTATATAATGTAGAGTTCAGGCTAGTTTTGTGTTTCCAGGGGGGTTTCCTTTATCAAATAGGATCAGATGATCACTATGATTATGACACAATAAAATATATAAAAAATGTGGTTAGTTTCTGTTTTTATCTGTATTGAAATTCCCATACTAAGTTTATGTCTTTTGCATATTCCTTTTTCTTCAATGTCTATTGTGCTTTAGTAAATATTAAAGAAAATGCAAATGCATATGGCAGGTCATAATACTTATCTTCTTTGTTTTAGTTTTCCCCCTTTTTATAACTATAACCCAGAGATTATATTGACTGAGATCTCATAGGTTTCAGAGCTGGGGTGAATAGGGGTACCAGAGATTTTAGAATATGTGTAGAGGAGCTGGCATCCAATCATTTATGACTTACAACTGTCTTCCAAAATGGCTATCCCATCTTCCATTCCTACCAGTAACATATGCGAGGACAAGTTGTTCCACATTCTCATCAACACTTAGCATCGTTATCCTTTAATTTTAACCACTTATAGTGTAGTGATATCTCATGGTTTTGTTTTGCATTTCCCTAATAACTAAAGATTATGAAGGTCTTTTCACATCCTTCATAGCCATTTGTATGCCTTCTTTTGTGAAATGTCTATTAAATCTTTTGCCTATTATTCAATTGGGTTGTTTTCTTTTTTGTTCTTTAAAGTTTATTTATTTTTGAGAGAGAATGAGAGCATGAGCAAAAGAGGGGCAGAGAGAGAGAGAGAGAGAGAGAGAGAGACAGAGAGAGAGAGAATCCTAAGCAGATCCTGCACTGTTAGTGCAGAGTCTGACACAGGGCTCAGACTCACAAACTGTGAGGCCATGACCTGAGCTGAAACCAAGAGTCAGATGCTTAACCAACTGAGCCACCCAGGTGCCCCTGGATTGTTCATTTTCTTATTGTTGTTTTAACATATTTTTAATGTGGCAGGATATGCCTAAAATTTACTATTTTAACCATTTTTCAGTGTATAGTTCAGGGCCAATAAGTGCATTTACTATCACTATCCATCTCTATAACTTTTTCATCATTCTACACAGAAACTGTGTACCATTAAATTTTTCATTCCCCCTTTCTCCCAGCCCCTGGTAACCACTATTCTACTTTCTGTCTCTATGAACTGAATATTCCAGATACTTCATATTAGTGAAATCTTACAGTATTTGTCCTTTTGTATTTGTATTCTTTTACTTAGCATAATGCCTTCAAGATTCAATATGTTGAAGCATATTGTCAGAATTTCCTTCTTTATTAAGGCTGAATAATATTCCATTGTATGTATGTATATACCACATTGTCTTTATACATACATACATCAGTAGACATTTGGGTTGTATCCATCTTTTGGCTACTGTGAATAATGCTTCTGTAGTATACTAAGATCTGTTGAGTCCTGCTTTTAATTCTTTTGTCTCTATATGCAGAAATAGAATCCCTGGATCATATGATAATTTTAGGTTTAAGTTTTTAAAGAACCACCATTCTGTTTCCTATAGGGCTGAACCATTTAACATTTCCCACCATCAATATAAAAGGGTTCCAATTTCTCCAAATTCTCAACATTTGTTCTGTTCTGGGTTTGTTGGTTTTGTTCTTGTTTATAATAGCCATTGTAATAGGTTTAAAGTGGTATTTCACTTGTGGTTTTCATTTGCATTTCCCTAATGATTAGTGGTGTTGAGCATCTTTTCATATTTATTGGTCCGTTCTGTTCAGCACAGATGGGTTAGCAATAAACTATTTGAGTTTATGTATTTAGGGAAATATCTTTGTTTTCATTTCATTGTGTATAAAATTACTGGATATCATTTTTCACCAGCCTTTGAATATACTGTTCCAATGTCTTCTGACCTTCATTGTCTATAAGAAATCTGATATTAATCATATTGTTGGTCTCCTGAATGTGATTTATCATTTTTCTATTGCTGGTTTCAAAAATTTCTATTTTTGCCTTTCAGCAGATTAACAGTTTGTTAGTTAGTCAACCAATGATACGGGGGGAGTTTAAGTTCAATTCAGTTACGTTAAGCCAGTAATGCTGTTATTCCTGCTGTACAATTTGTGTATGGGTTGAGGATGTTATTTTTCTTTTTTTTTTTTTAATTTTTTAATTTTGTTTTTATTTCTGAGAGAGAGGGAGAGAGGCAGCGTGAGCAGGGGAGGGTCTGAGAGAGAGGGAGACACAGAATCTGAAGCAGACTCCAGGCTCTGAGCTAGTTGTCAGCACAGAGCCCGAAACGCGGCTCGAACCCACAAACCGTGAGACCATGACCTAAGCCGAAGTTGGACGCCTAACCGACTGAGCCACCCAGGTGCCCTGAGGATGTTATTTCTAAGAATAGCAAATTCAGTTTCCCCTGGCTTTTAATTTTTGCTAAGCTCCCTGGGGTCTCCTGTATGAATGTGTAGTTTAAATAGTGTTTAAATAGTCAAGGATGTCCATAGAGTTTATTATTTCAGTCCTATGTCCATCTCACTTCCAGAAACTTCCCCTTAAATGTCTAGCTGCTTTGCTACCCAACCCACATGGAATCTGTTATCATTGTCCAGTAAATCTGCAAGTTATCACCACCTGAGCTGAGGGGCTAGTAATGTCCCCCAGACAAGAATGCCATAAGCTTGTAATTTTTACCTGATTTAGTAGCAGTTTTTCATGAAAACAATTTCTCAAGTAGTTGCCTATACATGGTCACTTAACAGTGCTCTGAAATAGGGCTTTTAATAATTTTTAATAATAAACTTTTTTTTTTGGAGGGGAAATGGCCAACTTCCTTATGTAGCCATTGCCAGAAGTAGGATCTGCCAAATTATTTTGAAGCAAATCCCAGATATCATTTTATCAACATGTATTTTAGTATGTACCTATAAAACTCAGGGATTCTATACATTCACATAATCATAATTTCGTTATGAAGTCTAAATCAATTACTGTTCAGTGTTTACATTTCCTTCAAATTGTCTCATAATTTTGAGTTTGTTGGTTTTAGTTTGTAGTTTGTTGGTTAAGCCCCACATGAGGCTCCACACCTCATGTGGGGCTTAAATTCACAACCCTGAGATCAAGAGTCACATGCTGGGTCACCTGGGTGGCTCAGTTCGTTAAGCATCTGACTTTGGCTCAGGTCATGATCTCACAGCTTGTGAGTTTGAGCCTGCTTTGGGCTCTGTGCTGACAGCTCAGAGCCTAGAGCCTGCTTCAGATTCTGTGTCTCCCCCACTCTCTGTCCTTCCCATGTTCATGCTCTGTCTCTCAATAATATATAAAAACGTTAAAAATTAAAACAAAAAAAAAAAGAAAAGAGTCGCATGCTCTAACAACTGCGCCAGCCAGGCACCCGTTAGTTTGTTTTAATCAGGATCAAATAAGCTCCACATATTCTATGTGGTTGATAAGTCTTTCAAGTCTCTTATCCAACACTCCTTCTCCACCCCATCCTTTTTTTTTTTTTTTTCTTAAATTCTGCCTCTTTATCTTTATTGTGTTTGTCTTGCAATTTATTTGCTAGGGGGTTTTACCAGTTGACAGAGTTTCTTGTCTTTTGGAATTACTACAGTTTGGATTTTTATGGTTGAATCCTTGTGATGTAATTTATTATGTTCCTTGCATTTCAGGTAAAATTTATTTGGAGTCAGATTCAGGTTCAAATTCTTAGGTGGTGTTGTGTAATCCCATCAAAAGGCACTTAATGACTGTTGTCATTTTCTGTGACATGGACAGCCTTTGATGATCATTGCCTAGATCTCTTAGTTCATGAGGTGGCAATGATACTCTCTCATTTCTTCTTATTCATATGCTGAAGTCATCAAAGAACTTTTCAGGATCAACAATTTGGTTTCCCTAAGGTATATATATATATATTTTTTAAATATTTTTATTTATTTCTAGGAGAGAGAGAGACAGCGTGAACAGGGGAGGGTCAGAGAGAGAGGGAGATACAGACTCTGAAACAGGTTCCAGGCTCTGAGCTGGCAGTCAGCATAGAGCCTGACGCGGGGCTTGAACTCACGAACCGTAAGATCATGACCTGAGCTGAAGTCGGACGCTTAACCGACTAAGCCACCCAGGCGCCCCCCTAAGGTGGATTTTTTAAAGATAGGAGAAATACTTGATAATTTCCCTTTATTTTCCAGTATTCAAAATAATTAGCTCTCTAGCATCCTCTAAAGATCTGTTATAATTTTTAGGATTGTAAAGCAATATTTTTGAAGTTTCTTTATAAATCTTTTGTGCTTAATGCATAACATTGAGGCATCAATCTTATGATCCATTATGGTAATCTTTCACTTCCATTGTCACTCCCTTTCTGTACTTCCTTAATATATTTCTACAAATTACTGCCAAATGAACATATCCCATCTTCCCTGCAAGTTCCCAAATTATAGCATTTTACCTTTTATGAGAGTATTTTTGTGCTTTTTTTCTCAATCTTTCTGAATGTCATTTTCTACTTTTTCAAACTTTTGATATTGTATATTGTATCACCAATTCAACAAATAGCACATAAGCCTTTTTTTAAAAGCATAGAAGACTTAATTTTGAATTATAGCAGTAATAAAAATTTGGTATTTCATATTGTTATGGTTGCTCTATTTCTTTATAAATTTCAATTTTTGGAAGATACCTCATTTGGGCTACTATTTTATACTGAAGCATTGGTTACTGATTTAGAAAAATATTTTCATGAATATTAAATATAAGTAGACAAAAATCACAACTTTTGACAAACTCAGCATTTCTTAAAATGCTGCTAAGACAAAAAGTTATCAGACTTCATTAGAATCACCTCATGTAATATAAAGTTAAAAGAACAGTAATTTTGCAAATGTAGTTAAAAGAAAAAAATTTGAGATGTTGATAAATTGGCTTTTGGTAAATTGCTGAGAGTACTTACTTCACCCAGTTCCAGATCAATCAACCTATATTGATAAATGTCACTCATTCCAGCTTCAAATTCCTGGGAGAAGAAAATATAATTTGCTTAACTTAGTTCAGATATTCACTGCTGATTTAATCTTATGTGGCTGGATCACATGGTATATTGGACTGACTTAGGACAGTGGGATTGAGGGAGTTCTTTAAGAATAGTGGATGGGGAGTGGCTGGCTGGCTTAGTTGGAAGAGCATGTGACTCTTGATCTCAGGGCTGTGGGTTTGAGCCATATGTTGCATGTAGAGATTATTTTAAAAAAAAAAAGTGGATAGTTTGGGGACAGTGAATGGTAGGTCTTCTATACCTGCCAAAGTATACTTTTTTATAAACGGTATTCTAAACTCAGTTATTTGATTTTTACCTAAAGCTCTGGCTCTTAACTATTTTGCTATATTATTTACTTGAAGATATGTTATTGTATAAGGCCCTAAGTGTCACTGAGCTACTAGTTTGAGCATACTACTGTCAGAAGCATGGGAGTTTCTGAAATAAATTATAGATTATATACCAGCACCACCTGAACAACACAGGTTTGAACTGTGGGGGTCCACTTATACATGTATTTTTTCCAGTAAATATATTGGAATTTTTTTTGAGATTTGCTACCATTTGAAAAAACTTCCAGATGAACCACATAGCCTAGAAATTAAAAAAAAAAAAAAAGGTATTAAGAAAGCATTGAATACATATATGCATATAAAATGTATTGACTTTGTTATCAGTAAGGCTTCTGGACAACATAAGTTATTAGTAAAATTTTGGGGAGTCAAAATTTATACATGAATTCTTCACTGTGCCAGAGGTTGGTGTCCCTAACCCCGTGTAGTTCAAGGAAGGGTCAGGTGTAGTTAAGTCAGAACTTGTCATGTATCAGAGAGTTTAGAAAAAAGCGTATCTACAACTTCAAATGATATGTTTATTTAGAAAGTTGACTGCACCAATATGAAATTGCATTTTCTTTTTTTCCCAAATAGGCTAAAAATAAATTTAATGCAAAGCAAGAAAAACAAGCAGAATTAGAGTACTGCAGACTTACTGAAGCTCTCATGGCTGAGAAGGAGAAGGAATTTCAGGATTATGCCAGAGAAGTAATTAAGCTTGAATCTGAATCAACAAATAAACATATTTATCCTCTTGTAAAAGCTGTACAGAAAGGACATGGAGGTGGCCGTGGACCAGTTTTTGTGGAAAGAGGTGGATTAAGACCCAGTTATCAGGCAAATGATGTCACTGGAGTCCAACTCCCTTTTTATAACTCTCAGGGATCAAAATATAATTTTCAAAGGTCTAAGGGAAGGCTAGGTTTTACATGGTCACAAAAAGTTTAATTTTAAGATTGAGAAGATTAAGGTGTAGCTAATATTATGAACTACAAATAAATTTTATGCTTATATTTGTTAATAAAGCTGCTCTTATCTAAGTGCAATTATGTTTAATTGATTCACTACCAAAGTTTAATTCAAATCCCTCTCATACATACAACACATGTAATTTTAGCCTTTAAAAAATATGTACTGTGGCATTAAGTATATTCACAATATTGTGTAATCATTACCATTATCTAGTTCCAGAATATTGATTTCATTGCTCCAAATGGAAAATCTATACCTAAGCAGTTACTTCGCATTCCCTCTCCCTCTGCATAGCTTCTGGCAACCACTAATCTACTTGGTCACTATGGATTTGTCTATTTGAGATATTTCATATAAATGGAATCACATTGTGGCCTTTTGTGTCCAGGCTATTTCATTTAGCTATTTATTTTCAGGTTTTGTTGTACCATTATCAGTACTTTGTTCCTTTTTTGTAATTGAATAATATTCCATTGCCAACTATTTTTCTCTTCAGCAGAAATTTATGTATTTTTCCTTCAGTAGGTAATTTTTAGTTTCAAAAAACTACATTATTACTAACAATATGATGATGGAGTTTCTTTCTTTGTGGTTTATTTTATAGGGAGTGTCTCACTAGACATGTGAAAATTAGTTTTCAAGTTGCTTGAAGTAATTATTCTACAAGTAGTTATGAGTAATTTGACACAATAAAGTTTCACACATCCCACTGGTAACTGAGTGAAATACATGTGATTTTCCTTTTTCACATGGCTACTAAGTTGTTTGTTAGTATTTCTTTTGGCTTAGAACTAATAAAGTCTGGGAATGTCTGCCATGTATCTTTTTCTTTATAGTCTGTTTTATAGAGTACTGTACATTATTTAGGGGTGATTATTAGTTTTGGATGAAGCTCTCTTCACATTATAAAACAGAGAAAACGTTTCTACAAAATGGTTAATTTCATAAATGTTTTATAATCAGCTGAGTGAAGAACACAAAACACCAAAGACATTACTAGTATTTTCCCCTTTACATGTACAGTTTGATTGTTTTAAATTAGGCTGGGCTTTCTAGTAGAGTTAAGCACACTAAAAACAAAAGGGCTATGCAAATTGTGATTTAAAATTAATCACAAAATGGAATGAAAATAATTGAGTTGTAAAGCACTTCAAGCAGTGGAAACACAACTGTTGTAACCTGACAATTTGATAAATCCATAGCTAGGAGTGCCTGGCTCAGTTAAGCATCCAACTCTTGATTTCCCCTCAGCTCATGATCTCACGGTTCGTGGGATTGAGCCTTGTGTGAGGCTGCTTGGGATTCTCTTTCTCCCTGTCTCTGCCCCTCCCACATTCATATTCTCTCTCTCTCAAAATAAACTTAAAAAAAAAAAAAAAAACCCATAGCTAAAATGTTGACTAAGACATTTGGGTATGGGGTAGGAGGTATAAAAACTATGAATCAGTGCTTAAAAATAAAAAGGAAATAGAATATTAGGTTGGGAAATATGTTTAAGAAGGAAACCTAGAAAGCAATGAAAATAGAAAAAGCAAATTGATACTAAAAGTATTTTAATACACAATTACTTTACACAGTCCGTATGAAGCACTCACAGTTTTACATATTCTCCTGGCTAAATAAAGCATTTAAAAACAGTCCAGAATTTGAGAATTTAAAATCACCTGCTAACACATACAAACCACTGAATGGTCAGAACATTTTTATCTAACCATATATATTTTCAGTGACTAACTTTCAAGTTGGTGCATTTCCCCTAAATATATCTAATTTAAATAAAAATGAAATCAAACAAGAAACCAAAAACTAGACAATTTGTTTTACGAGTCAATTAACATCTATATGGCTTTACAACGTTAAGTGTTATATTAAAACTGGCAGGCACAGGATATAATAGTGTTCCCAATGCTGAGAAATTTGGAGGAATTAAAAAGCAAATGTTAGCATTCCAGTAGACAGTAATGCAAATTTCAAATCTAACCTTAAGTTTGCTGAGGCAAAAGACACATTGATATCTGAAGCATTATGATGAAACATTTACACTAGAATTTATCTCCAAACCTTATGGAAGTCATCACTGCTGACTAAATTCTTAAAGAAGTTCAGTATTGTTAAACTCTTTGCTCAGTTTTTTTCTAATACAAATTCTATATCCCCACGGGTAAAATAAAAGTATTTTTAGTTGATTTATCTTCATTATTTACTTTTAATAAAAATAAAGGTTGAATAACTAATACAACAGTAATTTTAAAAATACAAAAACAAACTTATAGTTTATTTAATACAATGTTTATCTATAAAAGTTGATAGTTTCAGAGTTTAATCTGTAAAATGCAGTTTGCAGAAAACAGTTTTAACACTAGACTAATGATAAGAGAAGCAGCATTTTGAAACTAATTATACAACTGTGACAACAGCTTTATTCCTAAATTTCATTAAAAAAATATACATCACAGTGACTTTTGAGCTAGGAAAAGAAGTGCATTAACTTCATTTGAATTTTTCCCTTCCACAAAGAGAGCAGCCACAACTTTTTACATCTCCACATACAAATACCCAATTCATTTATCCTTCAAAGTACTAGAAACACACAAAAGAGAAAATATACAGCATAGGCTTTTGGTAACAGTAATTTGCTTAAAAAAAAAAAAAAAAAGGCAGAAACACAAATTAACCCCACCACTTCCTCCTATACCTATAAACAAACAACACCCCTCAACAACTCCCTTCTCCAACCCTGGTGATTTTTAAAGTATGTGATTTTTTTCAGTATGTACTTCTTGTGTCACACCACAAGCCAGAATTTGCATTTGTCTGAATCCTTTCAAGGCAGCTGGGAAACCACTATGGGCAGGTGTTAACCAATGCTGTACTTCCTGGAGTTTATTACTTTTTAAAACAATTATTTGCAACAAAACATATCTTTTCATAATAAATAGGTTATAGATCTACAATCCTTGGAGAGTTTATTCAATTGTAAATGTATGAATACTAAATTGTTAATTACAGCAAACATGACCAAAAGGAGACAGAAAAATACCCATTTTATGTTTCTTTACAACTATCAATTGTATACGGTGTATATTTAAAGTACCTTCCAGTCAAGGTAAAGGGAACAAGTTTCTATAGAAATTAACTACAAAAGGTTCAAAGTGTGATGAAAAGAACCCTGGAGTAAAAGCACAATGAGCTACAAAAACAAACAAACAAAACCCACTAAAACAAACTTGCTCCATATACTAACTTGAAAATAAATCAGAATTGTCCATTAATATCACTACTCAAAATACTGGAAACCCAATGTGTTCCTGTCCATAATATTAAGAAATATTTGCTTTTCAGTTTCATACCTTTCACTGGGTACAAGAATCAAAGGCCATCACCAAAGCCAGTATGAATCAGTATTACACTTGTGCAAAGACAGATTTATCATATTCTTTGAAACTTCTGTGAAGGCTTTGATTAAGAAACTATTAGAACCTACAATACTCAACTCATTAACCGTAGAGTAATTTAAGAATATTTTAAAACAACACAGTAGATTCTTTATCGTTCATTAACATTAACCTCTCTGTAGTGTCAATTTCTGTGTCAGATGGTTAACCCAAAATAGAATGAAATCATAAAAAAAATTCTCAGATATTACCAAACAGTAAGATAAACCAATTAAACATCTTTAGCGAATATGAAGTTAAAGATAGTTTGAGGTAAACCATAAGTTCAGACATAACTATAAAATCAATCTGAAAGGAAAGAAAGAGCCAGCTTTCAGCAAAGAGTGTATTCAAAGTAAAAGCTAAAGGTGGAACAACTATTAAAAATGTACTAGAAGGACTGTTTGAGCTATGTGCTATTTGGATGCAAAGGCAGTCTTAAGGTACAGTTAATGCTGCTTATTTTCCAAATATTTTTTATATTCTGAAAATCTGATTGTCATCTCTCATCTCAATTTCTTCACCATTATCTGTTCTAACTGTAAAAAAGTTTAAATGTCTATAGATCTTACCATGGAGTTGCTCTTTTGATAATCAGAACAGGAGAGTGTTACTTTCAGAAATTACTTAAATTTTCCCCTTATGGTTACTGGTCTATAATTCTTAGATCAAGCTCTGGAAGCAGACAAGATTAAATATTTTTACTTAGCATGGGTTTGTTGTTAGAAATCCTTTCTTAAACAGCACCTTTCTTGAAGCTCAAATAGTTTATAACAGATTTTTAAAATGCAGCTTACTGAATTTTAAGACAATAATTTAAAATATGTTACAGATTATATAGCTTGGGAACTCAAGATTCAATTGTCTCTAAGGTAGGGTTTGTGGTTTAAGTCTCTGAGGAATCAATCATCCCGGAATATCACAAATATCTATCACTGTTATCATCAGGAAAATAAATTTAAAAGGACTTCACAGTAGAAATTTGCTTCAAGATAGTTCAAACAATTTGATAATCATTACCTACTATTCATTATACAAACAGCTACCACAATGCCAAATCTGTCATTACTGTATTAATCAATAATGGGAAGTATTATGTTAAGCACTGCTTTGCTCAGTACAAACAGCACTGAGTATTTACTGGGTTTTCCAAGAAGCTACCTTGGTCAAGAGGTGACACTACATTGACAAATACTGAAGTACAAAACACTCTAAAGGCTACTATTAATTGGAATTCTGAAATTTCTTCTCAAATGAGGCAGGTTTTCTGTTTGCTGGATGTTCAATATTTTATTTAGAAGAGAAATTACAGAAAAAAAGGCCACACATCACAAAAATAGCAATATACAACACACAAAATTCTAAATGGACTTTGGGTAACTTTATTGTTTAACTCTGTAAGCTATCAAATTTTGCAACTTTCTATTCTACTCTATATGGCAATGTTATACATGCCAAGCTAAAATAATATTAACAATAATGGTATAAAGCCATCTGAATAGAAAGAAATCAGAGTCAGAAACATGCTATACCCTACTGTGATACATAATAGAAAAGATGCATTTTCTTGCCATTTGAAACTCACAGCTATGAGATTTAGAGACGCCAGCTCAAGTTAAAAAAGACAAAACCAAAACAGCAACCATGCAGAGCTATCACTCAACTCTCTATAAATCAGTGGCCAAAAGAGAACTCTTGGAAGTTAATATGTCAATACTAACAATTTTTAGAATCTGTCTAACTTAAAGACCTGCACAAGTGGTATATTTTAGTGAGTAAAGTATCTTCATTTTAGAGAAGGGTAATGATAATAATAAAACCGTGATCCCCAAAGCAAAAGTTTCATCTCTTCAGATCAAAAGCAACACAGAATTGAGAAATACAATCTCATCTTCCAAGGTAAATTCCTGTCAAATGCTGTATAACAGCAAGTCAAACTCAATCAGCACATCAATGGAAAAAAAGGACTCAACTATTTTAGACAGTTAAGTAAAACAAAACTAGGTAGGAAAAATATTAGTATGAATCAAGCTATGAATGGAATTATAAATAACATAGGAGTGCAATATAAATATTTTAAAGCACAAATTATTAAAAAAGCAAAAGTGATGACTTAAGATCTCAAGTTATTAGGATCCTGCTTTTCTGTGTAATTAAAAGCTGTTGTGCTGCTGCAAGCTTCTATTAGAAATGCAGTCAGAATATCTACACAAGATTTCTTCTACCTAGTGGCTTCTACAGTTACTTTAATCATGAGAAACACAAGCTTATGTAACAATGTATTCCAACAATCAGTTACCCTTGTTTTGAACTGGCTGATCACACAAACTAGGATGTAGAAAAGCATTATTTGCTATTGGCTGATTGTTGCAACACAAAAATGAATACATGAAATAGTTAAACACAGCACACAGTATTACACCAAAATGTTTTTCTCATTTCAAGTTTATTAAAACTTTAGCAGTACAAATTATCCAGGTTGCAGATTATCAAAAGATCAACTCAATAAAGTCCACATAAAAAAAAGGGACAAACATAAAACCGAAAAACAATGAAAAGAGGAAAACAACATAAAGGAGATTCATCAGCAAGTCTCTAAAACTTAAAATTTGAGACCGAATGGAAAGAAGAAGTTTACACAACTCACTCATCCACTTTTGTCTTCATCTGTTCCAGGGCTTGATTCATGATCAAATTTTTTATTTTTATCATGTATGTGGTCATTTTCTTGACCCTTTGATTTTTGGTTTTCTTTTTCCACTGAGGACCTGGTCTTCTCATCTTCCTTATTTTTCAGTGTGGAGAACTTTAATTCATTGTCCTGACTACTGTGTTTTATTTTTGAGAATGGACTTTGATCTCGATCAGCTTTTTTTTCCCTGTTATTATTTGAGCTATTATGATCACGATTTTTAGAGTACATTCTCTTCTCACCCTCAGAATTTTCTTTTCTGTGTGAACTTTTACTTTCTTGGTTTCTGTATTTTTCTTTGTTTCTGCTTTGACTTTCTTCTCTTTCTGAGCTCCGTGAATCTCTCCTCCTTCTCCTCCTATCTTTACTTCTTGATCTTCCTGGTGTTGCTCTTCTCTCTCGGCTCCGGGACCTTCCTCTTCTCCTGTACTCTTGCTCCCTGTATCTATGGTACTCCTTGCTCCTACTGCGATCTCGGTCATGGCTTCTAGATCGCACTCTTCTGCCCCTGTCCCTACTTCTGCTTCGGTCTCTTGTCCTACTATTGTAACTGTGTTTGCCCTTAGTGACATCACGTTCTCTACTCCTAGACTGTGCACGTCTATCTTTATCCTTACTTTTATTATGATCATGCTCATTACTTTTTGATTCTAACTGTTTAGATTTCTCTTTACTTCTACTCCTTTCCTGATCCTTTCCTTTAGAATCACACTTTTCTTTTTCTTTAACAATCTCATGATCCCTTTCTTTACTCCTTGATCTCATCCTCTTTTCTTCATGTCTGTTATGCTTTGTATCTCTTTCTTTACTTTTTGATTTCTCTTTGCTCTTACTCCTACTTTTAGATTTAGCCCTTTTCTTCACTTTGTTTTTATTATATTTATCATCTTTTTCTGAATTTCTTCTGAGGTCTCTCTCCTTGCTGTTAGATTTATGGTCTTTAACTTTCTTTTCCTTTTCATTTTTTCTGTTTGGACTCTCAGACACATGCCTGTGATCAGTTATTTTTTTCTCTTTTACTCTAACTGGGCTTCTTTGATTTTCTTTTAATTCATTTAATTCACTCCTAAAAATGAGGAGAAAAAAAGTTTTTCAGAAACTTTACTAAAAAAGAGATGGTGTCCATTATTAACTAAAATGGTATTCTATTTTCCTTTAAATATTCAGAAACAAATGAAATGGCTATAAATAAAACTTTATGTACAAGAGTAAAAAAATACTTGTTACTACATTTGAAATAATATAGTTAAATCTTACTTATCCCCTTTGATCCATCTTTCACCACTTGATACCCTCATTCTTTGTGCTCTCTGCATCTCTTGCCTCCAATGTGGAGGAGTCTCACTACGTCTGAAACGATCCCTTGATCTGGATCTAGAAGGAGTTCGGTAACGCTTAAGAAAATAAAAAGGGAAAAAAAAATTAACATATAAAGATATAAATGTACTACAATAATAACTGAAGTGTATACATTTCTAGGTTCAAGTAAAATGTCTGATACTTCTATACCTTCTGTAATAACTAAAGTTTTCTAATTTTCAGGTATGAAACCAGTGAGGCGAAAATACGTTAATCAGACACCCATACTGTAAATTCCCAATAAAAAGCATTAGCCACACAAACTCTAGTCACTCATGTCCTCTCTGTAGAACTGCCCTATTTAGGTGGTGCTACTAGAGCATAATAGTTACAGGAACACTTACGAGTTGCCAAGTTCTAATTTGGAAATATGTATTCTTGATATACTGTCTCAAAGCAAATGCTTCCTAAATTATGAGAAAAACTGAGTAAATGCATAGATATTCATTTACTCCACCAGTATTTACTCAGCTCATAGAATGGCCAACTGCTTTATCATGTACTGAGGAAACATTAGTGAGCCAAGATATATTGGGATTTTGGTCTTTTAGAAGTTGTATTTTACAAGGCTAGGAAACCCACAGACAGGTGTGTTATATACACATATATATATATATTTGCACATACTAATAAGCATAAATGCAGCTACAATTAGAATCAGTATAAAAAAAACTACCAGGTGCTCACAGAATATATAACAGAGAGACTGGGCTTAGGTAGGAAACAGGGAAAGTTAAATATAACTCAAAAAGTAGAAAACTAACAACATGTATGAGGAGTTACATAGGCAAGGGTAATGAAAAGGAAGTAAGAATGAGAATGGATGGGTAAGAAAGAACATTTGAAGCATGAGAAATATGGTATTTGAAGGTTCTGAGACAGGAAAAGTAGCATTTGTTACAAATGATCACAGGATAGATCAGTATGGCTGAAGATAAAAACTGCAATGGAAACTAGTACTCAATAGCACTGATAAGATAAGCAAGGACTAGATTTTGTGAGGTCTCATAAGCCATGGTAAAAATTGTGGATTTACCCTAAGATCAATGGCAAAGGAGTAACATAATCAGATTTTCATTTTTAAAGGACTATTCTGGATGCTGTTTAGAGAAAGAATTGTTATCAGTAAATCTCTACATGTGATCTAGGGATCCCAAGATTCAGGGGATCTGTGAAGTCAGAACTATTTTCATTAGATCATGTTACTTGCCTTTTCACATTCACTCTTTCATTATTGTACAGTGGAGTTTTTTCACAGACTACCTGACAATTTAATGTCTTTGCTTTCATTGCTAATGGAATGTGTGCTTACATACATATCTGTATTTTAAATAATCCTTGGTTTTGGGGCACCTGGGTGGCTCAGTTGGTTAAGCGACTGACTTCAGCTCAGGTCACGATCTCATGGTTTGTGAATTCAAGCCCCGCGTTGGGCTCTGTGCTGACAGCTCAGAACCTGGAACCTGTTTCAGATTCTGTGTCTCCTTTTCTCCCTCTGCTCCTCCCCTGCTCACACTCTGTCTCTCTCTCTCTCTCAAAAATATATAAACATTAAAAAATTAAAAAAAAAAAATCTATGTTTACTGTTTTAGTATTCATTTCTATTTAGTATTCATTTCTAAAACAGTAAACATAGATAGATACAATCCACATCACAAAAATCTCCTTTGGGTCCTCAGTAATTTTTAAGAGTGTAAAGAGACCCTAAGTCAAAAAAGTTTGAGAGCCGCCATGAGAACAGTTAGGAAGCCATTTATAGTTCAGAGAATATACAAAGGTAAACTAAATTGGTGGGGGTGGAGCTTGAAAGAAGCAGATGGATTTCAAAGTACTGAGAAGGCTGCACTGACAGGATTTGGTGATGGACAGCAGAGAAATAAAATGATTCTTGGGCTTTAAGTGACTACACAGGAGGTAGTGTCCATCACTGAGAGCAGGAACCTATGGGAGGATTGGGTCTGAAGGACTGGTTCAACATTATATATGCAGAGTTTGAGGTGTCTGTTAGGCAACTAGCTGGCTGTCAGCTAAACCCTGGTACCAGAACAGCAAATGAGAATTTCAGAATTATCAATATACAGTAGCCACTGAAGCTGTGAGAGCAATGAGACCACCAAGAAGCACATGCACCATGAGGAGAGTTGGAACCCTGTGGTACTACAGTATTAAAAGTCCAGCTATGAAAGTATGAACTGGCATTGGAAATTCAAAACAGACTGGCCAGAGACAGAAAGAAAATACGACAGAAGCAAAGGGGGAAAAAGTATTAAAGGAGGAAGATTAAGTAAGACAAAGACCGAAAGGACCAGCTGGGTTTTGTGACATTAGCTGACCATATAGTAAGTGCTATTTTCAGCAGAATGGTAGAAGACAAACAGAAATGGTTTAGGAAGTAGGACATGAGTAGAAAGTGAAGAAATAATATGTCAAGTATTGCTAGGTTTCTCAAAAGTTTTGAAAGCAGAAGATATTTAAATTCTGATAGAGAGAATCCAATAAAGAGAAAGAGAATGAGATATAAGAACAGGGTTAATTTTTATGAATTTTTAACAAGATTAGAGGTATAGTAGTCAGGAAGTAACAAGGGGGCACAAGACATTAATCTCATTTTACATCATGTACATGTAAAATGTATTAATATCCCATGCTTTTTCAGTTTAGAGAAATACCAATACAAAGAAGTTACAATAAAAAGAAAACATGTAATAGAATATCCATATCTACTTTAAATTTTAGTTACTTATGTATAAAACAGTATTTAAGAAACACTCTAAAATTATTTATGATAAATGCAATACTATTAAGATTTCTGGGAAAAGAATCACCTACCCTTGGTCCTCTTCCTTTAATTTTCCTGCCAGATCTAGTAACTAAAAGTCGCCTCTGGTATGAAGCAGGCTGGGAGTTAGGTGGATTACTAGAAGGAAGCAAGGGAAAAATTAAAACATACAATTTTATAAAAATGAATCTAGAGAATTTGGCTTTACTGACCTAAACTAATTTAAAATCTTAAAAATCAGTTCTCGACCAAGAATGTTATCCATTTGGATAGGTGGGTATTTGGAAAAGTATGGGAGCATTTTTCAACTGTAAATGACTAGAGAGTGCTACTGGTACTTAGAGCCACGAGTCAGGAATGCTAAATGCTTTCAAAAATTAATGAGCTAATATTTAATTAGCATAAACAATACCCATGTAAGTTATATTTGAAAAGTTCACTCTAAAGTACTTCAAACATTTTCTCTGTTAAATTTATTTTCTTAAAAATATTCTTTCCTAACACTTGAGGAAAAATTAACTCAATTCCAATCCATCAAAATTGCCTCAAGTTCCACACAACTCAGGGTTTTTTAATACTAAGACTTATTTTTTATATTTTTACTGTATTGTGAAAGTATAGAGGAGAGACACTGAATTTTACTACTTTTATAACAAATTTCTAATAAGTAAGAAAATACCTCAGTCTTTTTTGGTTTTGTACATAATTATTAGAATGATTTATAAAGAACCAAGAAGCCTACTAATACTAACTTTGTGGATTTATGGAGGAAATTTTTCAAAGACCTTTTATATGATACCAATTTTCATTACCAGAATACTATAAATTAGTCATGGAAAACAGCCCTTTTGCCCTATTAAAGGTTATCATTTGTTTAAAAGTTTAATGTATTTAAACAACACAGTAAGACAGCTGGTTTTAAATGCCACAACATATCTATTTGGTATCTGCATGGCTTATTCTTTTAAAAAGTAACTTTTTACCCAGAATCTGTTTGAATTAACTCAGTTTCTCTTATCAGCTATGTAGTTAGCAAAAAGGAGTTTTGTTAGTATTATCCTATAAAAAAAGATTTCAATCTTGGGACAAGATCACCAATTAAATCTTGTTTAAAGTAACACTTTAAATAAAAACAGTTTGATTTTAAAGAGTGCAGGGCACTCTACAAGATATATACATTCACATACCACTCTCTCTCTCTCTCTCTTTCTCTGTTTTTCCTTTCTTTTTCATCTGCTTTAGGGGGGCTTTTTCTCATTAGGAATCGATTTTCAGGTATAGGAGGGATCTCTTCTGGACGGACAGTAGACTGCGGTTGTGCTTCAAGATTTTCAGTCTCACTTTCACTAGATGCACTAACAGAAAACACACAAAACAAATTCCATTTGGTTATTATGCACCTATCCCAAATTTACGACTGTTAGGATTTCTTTCCTTTGTAAGATGTCACAATACATATGCCATCCTGCCCCCAACTACAAAGATGCAATAACAAAGAGAAAAATCCTCCTTTATTCCTCTGATAAACCAACGGAAAACCAAAACCAACTGTTTCCATTATCACATTCTCAGAAAATATTTTCCAATAAAAATGGATCTAAAATATGGTTCTCCATAGTCAATGTACTTTGATAAATTTAAAAGTTAAAAATGTAAGTAAAGAAATTTATTGCTTTAAAGGCAATAGGCATATTAAAACAAGTTTTAGTATAAACATAAGAGTATTTCTGACAAAACAGAAAAGAAAGTGAAAGCACTGACATTACCTGCTTTTACTCTTGTGCTATCATAGCAATAAAGGAAATAAAGGACTAAAAAAGCAAGAGACACTTCTGTAAACAATAAAGACAATAGTCACTCATTGCCTGTAATTCTCATTAATCCTATATTCCTCCTATAAAACACAAGCCTATGAAACCGGAAGCATCATTTCACTAAGCTCAAACAACTGAACTGAATGGTTTATTGAAAATGGAAATGAATGAACCTAAATTTAATCTACAGACTGTAGAATCATAATGATCGTATACTTTGGGGCGCCTGGGTGCGTCAGTTGGCTAAGTGTTCGACTTCGGCTTAGGTCATGATCTTGTGGCTCATGGGTTCGAGCTCTGCGTTGGGCTCTGGGCTGACAGCTCAGAGCCTGCTTCAGATTCTGTCTCCCCCTCTCTCTGACCCTCCTCTGCAAGCTCTCTGTCTTTCTCAGAAGTAATAAATAAACATTAAAAAATGGTCTTCTACTTCATGGTATGAAATATTTTTCACTATTTTAACACTGCCATATAACTGATCCAAAATCCCAAAAGATTTACTTACAAACAGAAGGGAATTAGAATATACAGCTAGTATTATAAAGGTAAAGTTAAAACCTTTTCTTGCTTTTCTTTCGCTTCTTCTTTTCTTTCTTGTGTTTTCGGGAATTTTTCCTATGTTTCTTTTTTCTTTTTTTTGATTTCTCTTCAGAAGCACTTTCTGAATCAGAAGAATCAGAAGAGGACTGAGAATCACTTGAGCTATCTGAGTCACTAGATGAAGAGGATGATGATGATGATGACTTATGTCTTTTCTTTTCTTCTTTCTTAGCTTTAATAAAAAACAAAACGGTTTCTGGTCAATGCTTTTTAGACAGAAATTTAGATTAGCTGCAGATTCTAAGTCCAGTATGTTAACACTTAGTTCATCCAGATATCTGAACTGAGGGGTACAGGAAAGGAGTCAACATTTAGGGTTAGAACCTAGGTCTCTGGATTCATGGATCAAAGTTGTATCTATTACACCAAGGAACTGTGGAAAAATAACAGGTAGGTCTAAAACACTAATTTTATTTTATTTTATTTTTTAGGATTCTTAGATATTTTTATTTTTTAAAATATAATTTATTGTCAAACTGGCTTCCATACAACACCCAGTGCTCATCCCAACAAGTGCCCTCCTCAATGCCCATCACCCACTTTCCCTTCTTCCCTAGCCCCCATCAACTCTGTGTTTAAGAGTCTCTTATGGTTTGCCTCTCTCCCTCTCTGTTTGTAACTTTTTCCCCTTCCCCTCCCCCATGGTCTTCTGTTATGTTTTTCAAGATCTACATATGAGCAAAACACTAATTTTAGGAAACATTTGAATGACAGTTTCTAAAAAGCACAAAAGTATTTAAGGGTCCGAGATTCTTATCTTCTTGTGCTTTTTACTTTTTATCTTATTACTAAGATTAGAGGTAGAATGGTAGAAGAGAAATAACACCTACAAAAAAATACTCCACATGAGTGTGGAAAATAAGAAATATGACTCCACTGGCACTGGCTGGTTTCAATGCCTGAGCTTTCCTCTAATGGTTAAGTAATTGAGCTTAGTTCAAGAGCAGACTTACCAGAGTAGGTAGTCATTTACCAATGGTTAATAATTATGAATTGGTATCTCTACAAAAAATAATTTCAAATTGAAATTTTATTTTAATTGATATGGATCCCCAAACTCAATGCTTTAAGGACTAGGCAACTAATATAAATAAGTGAAGTTAACCAGATGTGCTACAACAAGAATTGGGGAAATATAAGACAAATCGAACAGAGCTGGATTCATCTAAAGGTATTCTATTCAAACCATGGTGGACTTAGTTAAAGAGAAATCAGGCCAAAGATGAGACAATACTGATATATGAATAACTATAACAAAATGGAACAAATCAAATCTATTAGAATTCATCAGTTCATAGTGATTTACCTGCTTTTCCTTACATAAACTGTGTCACAGGCTAACCAAACAGTAGATGAAAAGAAGATGCTCTTTATCAAAAGTTTTCCAAGAATAAATGAAGCAGGAATTATAGGGTTAGGATATCATCATTTTGTAACTCCTAATGAAGCACTAACAACAGCTGCTGCAGAGCACAAAAATCACCCTTGTATGTGACTCTTGTTCCCATCAAAAATAATTTTAAAAAATCCACAATGCATCTGATCCATAATGCATTTAACTACAAAGTTATATGAAACAGAAGGAAAAAAAAACACATTATGTAACAAAGATGCAAACAGTATAATCCATTGTGTGGAATAATGGGAAACATTACAGGACAAATGACCTAGTTTATTCAACAAAAAAATCTCAAAGAAACATAAAGGAGATGGTAGAGGAAATCTATTAAAAACAAAATTAAAAAAACCTTAACAACCCCAATGTCTGAACCTTACTTGGATTCAAAGTCAAGTACTAAAAAAAAATAACATTAATGAAACAATGAGAAATTTGAACAGTCAGGAATATTTAGGAATATAGATAGGTGTGCGTGTTTATGTGTGTACTTGTGACCATGATTTTTTTTAAAGAATCATTTTATAGAGGCAATAATGAAAAGCTTATTGATAATAAAATGTTATCCCTAGAATTTGCTTTAAAATATCAAAGGGAGGGGCTCCTGGGTGACTCAGTCAGTTAAGCACCCGACTTCAGCTCAGGTCATGATCTTGTGGTCTGTGGGTTCAAGTCCTGCATCGGGCTCTGTGCTGATAGCTCAGAGCCTGGACCCTGCTTCAGATTCTGTGTCTCTCTCTCTCTCTGCCCCTCACCCGCTCACCTGTGCATGCATGCTCTCTCACAAAAAGATGCAAACATTAAAAATTTTTTTAAATAACAAAGAGAGAACTGACCAGGATATATAAAATGAGATTGACCATGACTTAATTTTTGAAGGTGGGTAATGAACACTGTTGTTTGATTACAGTACTTCAACCATTCTATATATGTTAATATTTTCCACAATATAAAAAAGATCAGAGAGGAATACCTGGGTGGCTCAGTCGGTTAAGTGTCCGACTTCGGCTCAGGTCAAGATCTCATGGTTTGTGGGTTCGAGCCTCACGTCGGGCTCTATGCTGACAGCCAGCTCAGAGCCTGGAGCCTGTTTCAGATTCTGTATCTGCCTCTCTCTCTGACCCTCCCTTGCTCAGCTGTCTCTCTCTCTCTCAGAAATAAATAAAACATTAAAAAAATTTTTTAAAAAAAGATCAGAAGACAAAAAACCACATCTTTGGACTACTGGCTGCTTACAGACCTTAACTGAAAGGGTTAAACATGGTTTATAACTTTTCCTTTAGCCTCATGAATACCTGAATATTTACCACTGGCCAAATCATTCTTGAAACTCTTAACTCAGAATTTATAGGAGTGTACTAATTCCAAGATAAATGGCAATCTGGCTGAAGTTACTATGTCCTTTACCAAGGACTTATAGTTCACTGCTAAAACAGTTTTTCCAGTACCAATGAAATGCTGCCACACTGGAGAATGGGAACAAGGTATAAAAGGTGAAGGGATCCCCAGTAATGGCTTCATCACACAGTCATGTTCCTCAGGATCATGAAAATAACAAGTGTGAGATGCCTGGGACATACACAAGCTCTGCCTGAAAACCATGACATCTCCACTATGTTGTTGCTATATAAACTGCTCTGTTTCCTGTCTTGTATATCCTTTTTTTCCCCAACTTTTCATTTTTTGAGAGACAGAGCATGAGCAGGGGAGGGGCAGAGAGAGAAGGAGACACAGATTTTGAAGTAAGTTCCAGGCTCTGAGCTGTCAGCACAGAGCCCAATGTGGGGCTTGAACCCATGGCTGTGAGATCATGACATGAGCCAAAGCTGGCTGCCAAACTGACTGAGCCACCAGGCACTCCTGTATTATCCTTTTTAAAAGGAAAATAAACTTAGTGCTGAATGAAGTCTATTTTGTCTCATGAGTTCAATTGTTAACCTAAAGCCAAGACTACTATTGTTGACGCAGAATAGGTATATAAACATGTATAAACTGAAACATCTGCTTACATATACTACAGACATGAGAGATGGTTGGGTGGGCAGGTGGTAAACTTAAAAGTAACTGAATAAATTAATAAGGAATAACTCTAAATAAAAACTTAAGAGCACAGGGGCGCCTGGGTGGCTTAGTCAGTTAAGCATCCGACTTTCGCTTAGGTCATGATCTCACGGTTTGTGGGTTCGAGCCCTGCATTGGGCTCTGTGCTGACTGCCAGCTCAGAGCCTGGAGCCTGTTTCAGTCTGTGACTCCCTCTCTCTCTGACCCTCCCCTGCTCACGCTGTCTCTCTCTCTCCTAGAAATAAATAAAACATTTAAAAAAAAATTTAAGAGCACGTAATAGGCAAGCAAAATAAAAATATTCCATATAAACACAGTAATGCTTTACTACAATTACTAGTTCCAACTTCTATTTTGCAATGAGATTCTTTCCTATGAGAAATATACTGCAGCTGGTTTCTTTAACAAACAAGCCTACCCTCCCCACCAAATGTACTGAATATATTTCAAATGACCATTATTTAGTTCACACGTGACTTTTCAAGAAAACATTTTAGTGAAGCAAGATATCACAACAATATGAAATGCCAGAACTATGTTTATGGTAGTATAATCTGCCTGAATATCAGATGACATCTACTATAAAAGGAAAATAAACTGTGTTTTAGGAAAAATGCCTGGGAAGAGAGGTTAAGAAGCTCCAAGGTCAAAAAAAAAAAAGTGTCCTCTTCTGATATTACTTTATAAGTGAAATTTAGTTTACATGTCCCTTTCGTATGATCTGCTCAGAGAGAGAAAATGATTGAGAAAGAAATGGCAATTAAAGAATAAAAGAGTAAAATGACAAAAAATAGAGACATGACAAAGTAAGTATTAGTTCTAATAGAATGTATCTGGAGTCTCAAAATCTGTGTTAAACTAAAATAAAAATATGATTCAGGCACATTGTGAATCTAACTGAACCTTTAGCCTTCTCAGATCATTAAGTATAGATGACGAAACCCCTGTACAGCCAAAAATCCATGTGTAATTTTTGACTCCACAAAAACTTAACTGCAAACAGCCTATGTTAACCAGAAACCTTACCAACAATATAAAGTCAAGTAACATATATTTCGTATGTTAAATGGATTATATACTGTATTCTTAAAATAGAGAAAAATATTAAGAACACTGTAAGGAAAGAAAATACATTTACAGTTCTGCACTATATATTTTTTAAAAAATCCATGTATAAGTGGAACCATGCAGTTGAAACCTGTGTGTTCAAGGGTCAGCTGTATGTTTAATTCAACAGTATATAGATATACACACCATGATGCCAGGATACAAAGATAAAGAACTGTAAAGTATATGGGGAAATTCCACAGTAAACTTCTAAGACATGCACCTTTCCTTGCAGAGTTTAGAAACAATTTAGAAAATAAGACCAACAAGTGTGAATCCAACAGAAAACAGCATCAGAAAATATACATGTAAGTAGTAAGTATTTTAGAAACTCTGACTATAGGGGCACCTGGATTGAGCATCCGACCTCGGTTCAGGTCATGATCTCACAGTTCGTGGGTTCCAGCCCCACATTGGGCTCTGTGCTGACAGCTGAAAGCCTGGAGCCTGCTTCGGATTCTGTGTCTCCCTCTCTCCCTGCCCGTCCTCTGCTTGCACTCTACCTCTCTCTCTCTCTCTCAAAAATAAGTAAACCTTAAGAAAAAAATATAAAAAAAAGAAACTGACTACAAATTGTATATGGATTTAACACAAAGTATAGTCAATAA